ACAGGGCCTCTGTCAGCCAACACTTCAGATGACAACTAACACCTTAGGTGACATTTAAGACCCGCATGAACAATTTCCACCTGGGTGGAGAGGAGAAGGTGCAGAGGCCTTGGGGAGAGTGGGAGGAAGGGGAGTTGTCTGCACAGACTGGAACTGTGGCCACAGTGACCCCGGTGCAAGGCATGCGCTCCACTCTGCACCCCTGTGCGGCCTCTGCCTGGCCCCCAGGCTCTGGAGACAAGACTGGCTATGTGCGGGAACTGTCAAAGACCTTCACAGTCAAGAGTACTTGGTTGCCCCCATATGAGGACTGAATCCTCAGCCAGGTATCCTCACCTCTGTGGCCTCTGTCAGCCACCTTCCCCTCTCACCTCACAGCGAGGTTTCGTATGTTGCAACCACAGTGCACCCCCTAGGCCTCTGCTGACCCTGTTGTGCCCCTTTCTGCCCCCTCCCAAGGAGCCTGAGCCAAGCGCTTCACCCATCACAAACAGGAGACGGAGACACCAACTTTCCACACAACATGCATTTTTACACTGACACCTGGCGCTCCTCTTGGACCATCAGCCCATGAATTTGGAATGAGTTGCTCATCTCCGTGATCGTAGAATCCAGCATTGGCAGTAAGAACTTCGCTATTTACATTAAACATCCCTAGCCACTAGTGAATGCTTGGTTTATGAATGAGCAAAAGAATGGTGAGAAAATGGCTGGCTGGCGGAGCTGAGTGCTGGCGTGGTAGAAGTGAGGGTCATGGTGATGAGGAATGGCTCAAGAAGTAAAGTGCAAAGTTCTGAGTTTATTTTTTATTTATTTATTTATTTTTTGGTCCGGTCGTGGGGCCTGAACTCTGGGCCTGGGCGCTGTCCCTCAGCTCTTCAGCTCAAGGCTAGCGCTCTACCACTTGAGCCACAGCGCCACTTCCGGCTTTTTTCTTTCTGCTTATGTGGTGCTGAGGAATCGAACCCAGGGCCTCGAGCATGCAAGGCAAGCGCTCTACCACTGAGCCACCTTCCCAGCCCTATTTTTTATTTTTTTGGCCAGTCCTGGGGCTTGAACTCAGGGCCCAGGCTCTGTCCCTGAGCTTCTTTTGCTCAAGACTAGCACTCTACTACGTGAGCCACGGCTCCCGGGCTCTGGAGAGGGGACATGCTATGTACGGGGCACCTTTGAGACCTTCACAAGCCAGAGTACTCGGTTGTCCCCACATCAGGAAAAAGCCCACTGCCTTTTTCTGTATGGTGGATCTGAGGAATCAAACCCAGGGCTTAGTGCATGCTAGGCGAGCACTCTACCACCAAGCCACATTCCCAGCACCCAAAGCTCTGAGTTTAAACTGTCCCGGTGGGTGAGGGGGAGAACAGTTGACTGATTCATATGATCAACAGTGTAACGGCTCACGCCTAGAATCCTAGTGACTCAGGAGGCTGAGATCTGAGGATCATGGCTGGAAGCCAACCTGGGCAGGAATGTCCATGAGAATTTTCTCACCAGCCTGGGCAGGAAAGTCCGTGAGACTCTTAGCTCCAATAAACTACCAGAAAAGGGAAGTGGCACTGTGGCTCAAGCTGTAGAGTGCTGGCTTTGAGCTGAAGAGCTGAGGAACAGTCCCCAGACCCAGAGTTCAAGACCCACAACTGACCAAAAGAAAAAACAAAAACCAAAAAAGCTGGAGAAGCGATGCTGATGCTCAGAGTGGTAGAGCATTGACCTGCGCAGCAGAGGTCAGGGATAGCTCCTAGGCCTCAAATTGAAGCCCCATGACTGACCAAAAAAATGTTGGAAATGGTATTCAAGTGGTAGAGTGCTATCCTTGAGCAAGACAGATGCTCAGGGACAGTGTCAAGACCCTGAGTTCAAGCCCAAGACTGGCATGTGTAAGGATGATAGCTACACAAGAGGATGGTGGACGGTGAGTTCCTGGGTGGGATGATGGATGGACCTGTGTAGTGGACGGATGGATGCTGAAAGAATATGCGGGGCTGGGCTGGGAAGGTGGCTTCGTGGTAGAGTTCTTGCCCAGCATTTATGAAGCCCTGGGTTCGAGTCCTCAGTACCACATACACAGAAAAGGCTGGAAGTGGCACTGTGGCTCAAGTGGTAGAGTGCTAGCTTTTTTTGGGGGGGGGTCCAGTCATGGGCCTGAACTCTGGGCCTGGGCGCTGTCCCTCAGCTCTTCAGCTCAAGGCTAGCGCTCTACCACTTGAGCCACAGCACCACTTCCGGCTTTTTTCTTTTTGCTTATATGGTGCTGAGGAATCAAACCCAGGGCCTCATGCATGCAAGGCAAGCGCTCTACCACTGAGCCACCTTCCCAGCCCAAGAGTGCTAGCTTTGAGCAAAAGAAGCTCAGGGACAGCACCCAGGCCCTAGGATGGGGAAAAAAGGAATTTGAGGGGTAGATGAATATGTGTGTAATGTCTGGAAACGTGGAAGATGGTGGAACTAGATACAGAGTGGAGGGAAGATGGTAGGTGCATCTCTGTAATGGTAGTTGGTTAATAAATACTGTTCAAGGAAGATGGATTGGAATATGAGCATTGAATCAGTGTATTGATGGTCTCTGGGTGAACCTAGACAAACAATGGATTGCAGGTTCTAGGTAGCAGATGGCGGCTGGATTGTCGCTGGGAGTGGAAAGTAGACAGTGGAATAAATCATGGAAGTGCAGATGGATGGTAGACGAATAGAAGGGGGTGATTATGATGAATGTAGCCACAGTGAATAGGTAACTAAGTGGTGTGTGTGTTAGTAGATCGGGATGGTTGGCTGGATCACGAGGGAAGGACAGTGGATGTCAGAAGCTGGACGGCAGCTTGGCAGTCTATAAATTAGACCCAGACAGCAAGTAAACCAATGGCTGCTAACCAAGTGAGCTAATGAGCTGTGTACCAGCATCCATGGAAGGGCTGCTGGACGAGGGGTGGTGGACGATTGGGTTGACTCTGAATGAGTACACAATGGTTAGAAGATAAACGGACAGACAGAACATCAACTAAATCACAGCGGCATTGTGGGACGAGCGCGTGCGAGAGGTGAATGTACATGGCAGATAATGGGGAGGTGGTGGGTGAGTGGAAGGTGGTGAGAGGTATTTGGTAAACAAATGGCTTAATGTATAGAAGGATTGATGACTAATAATAAGCTGACGGATAATAAATGCAGTGGAATTGGTAGTGAATAATAGGTGGGAAAGGATGCATGGTGAAAAGCTGCATTGTGGTGCGTCCTCAGGGTGGTAGGGGACTGCTCGCCGGTGCTTCTCTGCGCTATCCTCAGCACCTAGAGCATAGATGGCACTCAATACATTTATCTATAATGGATGAATATGGAGAGATGGCAGGTGTTACTTGGATAGATTTGGGATGAATTGTGGCTAAGATTGGATTGATGGATGGACAGAGGATATTGTGAAATGAACATTGAATGTGTAGATATGTGGCTGATGAAGATGGGAGCTGGTGGTTGGTTGGTATATGGATGGATAGGGGTTCATAGGAATATGAATGTTTGGTAAATGGCCAAGGGTCAATGATGACTAAATATAGACAGATGTGCTGTGGCTGTCTGGAGACAAATGGACAGTTCAGGATGCATAGATGGTACACAGAGTAAGTTGATGCTGACAGATCAATAATGGATGATGCATTATGGTAGACAATTGTTAAATATTGGATGGTGTCTTGAGTGGTAGCATGCTTGCCTAGCACATGCAGTGCCCAAGGTCCAAACCCCAGGGTCACCAAAAACTAAAATAAAGCTGGTAGCTGTTAAGCAATGTTCAGAAAGATGGTGGGTGGTAGATGGTAAGCAAATGTTGGGGTCTGGGTGTCTCCTTGGTGCTCAGTAGAACATGGGTGTGGGTGCATGGGAGACAAACGTGGGAAGGTGTGGTGACAGGATGGGTGGTTCAGAGGTGTTGGATGGGGCCGGCGGCCAGTAGTGGATAATGGGTGGGGGCTGGAGGGAGTGTTGGATGGATGGACGGACAGTAGTTGAGGGTAGAGGGTAGGCAGTAGTTTGTGGATGGAGTTGTTGGTGTTGTTCTTGATAGGTGGCAGAGGGTGGATGATGGGTGCTGAACGGTGGGATGCGAGCGTCCAGATGGCCCTTGGGGGTGGACGGTGGGGTGCGAGCGTCCGGATGGCCCTTGGGGGTGGACGGTGGGGTGCGAGCGTCCGGATGGCCCTTGGGGGTGGACGGTGGACAGTGGGCTGTGGACCTGCTGGAGGAGGTGATGTTGGTGGTAGACGGTGAGTAGGTGGTGGATGGCGGGCAGTGGGTGGACGACCCGCCGGATGCGGTGGTGCTGGCGGCGGCCGGCCACGTGGAGGAGGGGTGGGGCGGGGCGGGGCGGGGCCGCGTGGAGGAGGGGCTAGGCAGGGCAGGGCGGAGCCTCATGGAGGAGGGGTGGGGCGGGGCCACGCGGAGGGGCTAGGCGGGGCGGGGCGGGGCCTCATGGAGGAGGGGCAGGGCGGGGCGGGGCCGCGTGGAGGAGGGGCTAGGCAGGGCTGGGCGGGGCCTCGTGGAGGAGGGGCGGGGCCGCGTGGAGGAGGGGCTAGGCAGGGCTGGGCGGGGCCTCGTGGAGGAGGGGCGGGGCGGGGCCTCATGGGGAGGGGAGGGGGGGCCACGTGGAGGAGGGGCTAGGCAGGGCTGGGCGGGGCCTCATGGGGAGGGGAGGGGCGGGGCCTCGTGGAGGAGGGGCTAGGCAGGGCTGGGGGGCCTCGTGGAGGAGGGGCGGGGCCTCGTGGAGGAGGGGCGGGGCGGGAGCACCGCGGGCGGAGCACCGCAGAGCGAGCGCGGAGCGTGCGGGAGGCGCGGCGGCTCCCGCTCCCACGCCGGCTCCGAGCGCCGCCCCGCGCCCGGCGGGAGCCCGGCCGGACAGGTGGGTGCGCGGGACTGCGGCGGCGTCCGGGCCGCGGCGCGGAGAAGCCGGGCCGCCCCTGAGCGCGGGGCTCGCCTCCCGGGCCTCCGCCCGCCCCCGCTGGCCGCCCCGCGCCTCCTCCAGGAAGCCTTCCGGGCTCAGCCCTCGCTTCCCACCGCGCAGCCAGCGGCTGGAGGACGGGTGAGGAGCCCAGGCTCCGGGCCGGGCTGGGCGGGGGCACAGGCGGGGGGGGGGGGTGACACAGTGGGGCGGAGGACCACAGGCCGGGGGGGGGGGCACAGGTGGGGGGTGCACAGGCAGGTGGGGGGGCAAGGCAAGGGGGGAGGCACAGGCAGGTGGGGGGGCAAGGCCGGGTGGAGGCACAGGCAGGTGGGGAGCACTGGCTGGGGGCCACAGGCGGTGGGGGGCACAGTCGTGGGGGGCACAGTGGGGAGGGGCACAGGTGGGGGGTGCACAGGCCAGGCCGGGGGCACCGGCTCAGGGACCTGGTGGGTGCCGAGGTGGGGCAGCAGCGCAGGTGGGCAGACACCCGCCTCGTCTTCACATAGCGACTCTCGGCAGCAACATGAGCACCCCCCAGCCCACCCAGGCAGAGCTAAGCCCGGCCGAGACTTCTGGAGGCCTGGCAGGAAAGGTAAGAAGGGCTGGGAGGGGGGGACAGGTTTGGGGTGGGGGCGGGGACCCCAGGCAGGCCTGTCCGCGCTGCAGCATCGCATCGGGAACCCCCTGGCGTTGCTCTTTTACTCAAGCCTGGCGGACCGCATGGAGGCCAGGCCCCGGCTTACGAGCACTCTCAGGGCTTGCTCCTACGCACAGGGGACACTTAGCTTTCTGCTCTATGGCACGATACCAGGGTCCTGACCCTAGTCCCATTTTTTTTTTTTTTTTTTGTCAGTCATGGGGCTTGAACTCAGGGCCTGGGCGCTGTCCCTCAGCTCTTTAGCTCAAGGCAAGCACTCTACCTCTTGAGCCACAGCGCCACTTCCAGTTTTCTAGTGGTTTATTGGAGATAAGAGTCTTATGGACTTTCTTGCCCAAGCTTGCTTTGAACCGCAATCCTCAGATCTCAACCTCCGAAGTAGCTCGGATGACAGGCGTGAGCTACCAGCACACAGCTCTTCCAATTTTTAATGGATGTGTTGATGCAGCAGAATGGTTCAAGTCCTAGCACTGGTGGTTTGCACTATAATCCTAGCTATTCAGGAGGCTGAGATCCACAGGATCATGGTTTGAAGCCAAAAGTCTGTGACAGTGTGTCCTGAAAATAACCAGCAAAAAATCAAGGCTGAGCCAGGCACCAGTGGCTCACGCCTGTCATCCTGGCTACTCAGGAGACTGAGATATGAGGATCACGGTTCAAAGCCAGCCAAGCCCAGGCGATTCTTCTCTTCTATAAACTACTCAGAAGAAGCTGGACGTGGCCTGAGACCCCTCTAGCCCCTGCGGCGAGCGCAACACCCTGGCTGGAAAACCGCCTGTGAGGAGGGAGGGGGGAGGAAGGCGTGGGCGCTGGCGGATCCCCGCGGCGGGTGCAGAGCTTCTGCTCTGTCCCTGTGCGCCACTCCCGATGGTCCAGCCTGGTGACACTGGTTCTCACACCAGGGGTCACCACCAGAGAAAGTTCTCGGCAGTCTTTGGGGCACTCAGCAGTGTCGGGTGTGCAGCCGCCCCTGCTTGGGGCGCGGGCGGCTGGATGGAGGTGGGGCGTGCGGAGGTGGGGCGGGCGCGTGGCAGTGGCTGGGCGCCGGGGGTGGACGTGCACGAGGTGGCACCTTGGAGAGCCTTGAATGGGAGGTGGAGGGCACCCCGAGGGCGTGTGGGCACTGAACAATGATGGAGAGCCGGCTCCGGTTGCCATGGCGATGTCTTGCCAGCTCTGGCTGCCCAAGGCCCCGCGGGGAGGGCCCGGCGGGGACCCCAGGAGGAGCGCGCAGCTCTGCAGGTGCAGGGGCGGCTGGGCGGGGCCGCTGACCTCTGCTGCTGCACCTCTAGACTGGGAACGTGGCTCCCCAGGGGCGGCCGCGGCCCCTGGCCTTGAGGATCCTCTTTCCCCGCGGTGGGACAGGACCAGAGGGGCTGGAGCCCCAGGGGTGGGATGGGTCACCCCTGCCCTGGGGCTCGTGGGAAGGGTCCCCAATCATCCTAGTGGGTGAGGGGGTGCAGGGCAAGAGGGACAGGGAGGGAGGGGACAGGAAGCCCAGGCCAGGCAGAGCCCCGACCCCTGCCTACCCTCTCCATAGGGTGCCCGGGAGCAGGGCCCGAGGCTGGGCCCGAGGCTGCCCTCCATCGTGGTGGAGCCCACTGAGGCGGGTGCTGTGGAAAGTGGGGAGCTGCGCTGGCCCCCAGAGGGCCCCCAGAGAGGAGCCCCCGAGAGCCAGACTGCTGCTGGTGAGTGAAGGCACGGGGTGGGGGGGCTGCTCCTCTCCCAGAGCTGGACCTCGTCTCCCGCCCCGCTTAGGACTGGTGTGCCCTGCACCTCCTTCTCATCACCCTGTGCAGCGCCTGCTACAGGTTCACTAGCCCGCTCCCCCGCCCCCACCCCGCGGCAGCTGTCGCCAACGCCAACGCCAACGCCAGTGCCCTTTTGCTTGCAGCAACCTCCCCGGGGCCGCGGGGAGCTCCGGGGACGGCAGCCGAGGGCGCTGGCGGCCCCTCCCGCTCCCCGCACCAAGAGCCCCTGGCCCAGTGATGGAGGACGTGGCGGGGCTCTGCTCTGACTGCTGAGAGGACCCAGAGCCCGGATGGCCAGGCTGAGGTGTCCCCGGGCAGGGCCTGCCCCCACCCGCCCGCACACCGCCGCACACCTGCCCGTCTTCCCCGGGCTGGCCAGGACCCGCCAGGGCCTCAGCACTGGCCTTTCTATCACCGCCCAGGCCTCAGCAAACCCCGTGGCTTGATGCAGAAATAAAGGCGCTTCTGGTGTCCAGTAGGCACGCTTGGTAGATTGAGGGCAGCTTTGGTTCTGCCGTGACCTTGTGGCTCTTCTTGGAGCACAGGGTCCCGCGTGGCGACGTCTTGAGTGTTTGGCTCGTGGGTTGGGACTGGAGAGTGGGGAGGCGGGGGTGGGTGGGGCTGGGCAGGGCTTCCGCGGCCTCTGCCGCCTCTGTCGGGGAGGTTATCGAGGTTATCCAAGGCCAGGGCAGCCTCCTTTCGTCAGCCTCCTTATCCCTCCTGGGGACCTCCTTGGGGCCAAGCCTGGAGGTGAGGTGGAGCTCTTCCCTGTCACCTCTTTATCCTGAGCTCAGCGGCACAAGGAGGGGCTGCGCTGGGGTGTTCTGTGCCAAAGCATTGCTTCAAGGATGAGGAAAGCCAGTGTCCAAAGGTAGCCTTGGCTGAGGCTACAAAGGGGTACGGAGGCAAAGTCGCCACCCCTGCTGGCTACAGGCCCCGTGCGGGGCTGAGTGGGCAGCCAGCTTCCTGCCCCACCGCTGAGTCTAGTCTCTCCTTGAGGGTTCAACCCACGAGGCGTCCCATGGAGTGCAGGGTCCTGCCACCCCGCCGCTGCCACCAGAGAAGCTGAAGGAGACACAGGTCCATGCCCTCCCCAGCCTAGCCCCAGCCCGGCCAACCGCAGCCCGGCCCAGGACACTCTGGGCCCAGCGGGGGTGCAGCCCCAGCCTGCAGCGAAGGAGGCTGGACACGGTGCTCTGTTCTTCCTAATGGCTTTGCTAACCGCCAGGATGAATAAGGCACTTTCTCCACCCGCCTTCCCTCCAAAAATAACTCCTCCTCCCCTCCCCTCCCCCCAGTATACAGAGAGGTAGCCAGGGAGCTAGGAGCCCTGCAGAGCCTTCTGCCCAGGATGCCCTGTGGGCCCTTCCAGACCCACCAGGGGGAGAGGCAGTGGGCAGTGGGCGTTAAGATCCTGCCTGAGGGGCTGGGAAGGTAGCTCAGCGGTAGAGTGCATGCCTTGCAAGCATGAGGCCCTGGGTTCGATTCCTCAGCACCACATAAACAGAAAAAGCCGGAAGTGGCACTGTGGCTCCAGTGGTAGGGCACTAGCCTTGAGCTGAAGAGCTGAGGGACAGCACCCAGACCTAGAGTTCAGGCCCCATGACCGGCAAAAAAAAAAAAAAAGATCCTGCCTGAGCCGGGCACCGGTGGCTCACGCCTGTCATCCCAGCTACTCAGGAGGCTGAGATCTGAGGATTGCGGTTCAAAGCCAGCCTGGGCAGGAAAGGCTGTGAGACTCTGATCTCCAATAAACCACCACCAGAAAACGGGAAGTGGAGCTGTAGCTCAAGTGGTAGAGCGCTCCCCTTAAGTTGAAGAGCTGAGGGACAGCGCCCAGGCCCAGAGTTCAAGCCCCACCAACAAAACAAGATCCTGCCTGTCCTCAGCCCCTCTTGTGAGTCCTGACCACGGAGGAATGACAGGCCGGGGACAGGCCAGGGTGCAGGGCAGGAAAGGCAGACACAGTTCACAATGATTGTCACAACACCTGGAACAGGGGCTGCGGGAGGCCAGCGGGAGAGCCGGGCACAGCGCTCTGCGGCTGCCGCTCTCCGAGCCCTGCCCGCGTGAAGGCCAGCTGCCCAAATCCTGCCACTGGACAGCCGAGCTCAGAACCACAGGCCGCCTGGTGCCTGGCCGGGCGGCGTCCGCTGCACCTCCTGCACCTCTGTACGGAGGTGGCCCTGGAGGGAAGACGACCCATTCCAGAGGGCGCCAGGACCCTGCCGTGCCCGCCATGCCCACCAGCCTGGGGGCGGAGGGCCGGCCCAGCCGCAGGCCAGGCCCCGCCCCGCCCTGAGGCCCCGCCCCCGAGGCCACCTTGCCCCATAGTGCCGCCTGGCGCCCACCGGGGTCACTGCAAAGAGCGGTGGTCGCAATCCCACCCTGCGGGCCACCTGCGCTCCCTCGGACCCAGGGTGGGGCCGGCGAGCCCGCCTGCAGCTGGAGAGCTGACAGACCGGTCCTCCGTCCTCAGGCCGGGTTCCACCCCTGGCCCTGGGAGTGGAATTTGCGGCCTCTGGCACCCGCAGCCACGTGCGTGACAGGTGCTCCCCCAAGCCCGGGGACAGGTGAGTATCTGGGGCAGAGGCCACGGGGCGCCTCAGGTGAACCTGTCGCACCCCAGCTGTGGCTCCAGTTACCAAAGGGAGGAATAGAAGTGCTCCCCCAAGGTCACAGGGAGCTGGACTGGACTGCATCCCCTTTCTGCTTGCTCCTCACCCCTGTACAAGGCTCCCCAGAGACAAGGCCGGGCCTCCTCCACAGGGGTCTTACCGAGAAAGCTGGGAAGCAACATCAAAATAGAATAAACAAGATGCCCACCTGTGTGCGGCAAAGCAGACACGAGCTTGGGGGGGGGGTGCTGGGGTCTTTTTTTTTTGGTCGGTCGTGGGGCTTGAACTCTGGGCCTGGGCGCTGTCCCTCAGCTCTTCAGCTCAAGGCGAGCGCTCTACCACTTGAGCCACAGCGCCACTTCCAGTTTTCTGGTGGTTCATTTGGGGATAAGAGTCCCACGGGCTTTCCTGCCTGGGCTGGCTTTGAACCATGATCCTCAGATCTCAGCCTCCTGAGTAGCTAGGAGTACAGGTGTGAGCCCCCGGCCTCCAGCATTTTCTGGGCCTTTGAGGAGGTTCAGCAGAAGATGCCATGCCCTGGGCACCACCAGCTGCTCAGGAACCTGTGGCTGGAGTGAAGGCCATCTGTACCAGGAGGGCCGGCACCTATGTGTCCATGACACAGTCCTGGCCCCCGTCTGGCCAGTCCTGTGGCTCTGAGCAGGTCTGGGGCTGGGCCGTCTCCTCCAGCACCTGCTGTCTTTAGTTATACTTAGGCCCCCTCAGCTCTCATTTCCTGGAGGGGCCCCAGGCTGGGGGGGGGGGGCGGCGAGACTCAAGTGGCTGGCCAAGGCATCGGGTTTGGGATCTGACGAGGTCTCTGCAGACGGCAGGGGTAGACTTTCCAGTCTGTGATGGGTTGACCATTGTCTTAACCCCAGAACTCGGGACTACAACACGGTGTGGACAAAAGGTCTTTGAAGAGGCCGTTCATTGAAATGAAGTGTTTAGTCTTCCTCCACACCCAGAGGGAGGATCGCCTAAGCACAGGGCGAGGGCAGCTCCGGCACACTGGGGAACAGTCTCAGGAGCTCACGCCTCCCAAAGGGCGAGGCGCCCTCCTGCTGCTCCGACCGCGCCTTCTGCACCACCTGTGCTGCACCACCGTGGCCTTTGGACACTAATGCAGCAGCCGCCTCAGCCCGGCCCGGCCCAGCCCCAGGGGACAGGCCTGAGTCTGCCCTTGGGGTTCCCCTGACGCTTACCCTGGAATCTCCCTTTCATGGGGACCATCTCTGTGACCCTCCCTCCCTAAGAATACCTCCAGGGGCGGGGAAGGTGGCTCAGTGGTGGAGCACTTGCCTGGCATGCTTGAGGTCTTCTGGTTGGATTCCTCAGCACCACATAAGCAGAAAAAGCCAGAAGTGACGCTGTGGCTCAAGTGGTAGAGCGCTCTCCTTGAGCTGAAGAGCTGAGGGACAGCGCCCAGGCCCAGAGTTCAGCCCCATGACTGACAAAAAGAAAGAAAGAAAGAAAGAAAGAAAGAAATCTCCAGTCTATGGCTGTGGGAGCCCAGAGCCAGCAGGCTCCAGCCCACCCCTCCCCTTCGCTCTGCCTGAGCCCTGCCCCTGCCCCTGCCACAGCACCATCCCTCCTCACCCCAGAGTGGGGCCCGTCACCCCCCCAAAGTCCTCAGGAGCAGGACGCGCCCTGCTGTTTCACGGGCACTCACACATGTGCACGCACGGATACACAGATGTGTGCACACACACACACAGCACTTCCGGCTCGGCACCAGCTGGGCGCAGGGGGTCTGGGCAGGACCTGATGGGCAGGTCCTGGGCTTGGCACGGGGGTCCTGTGCTCTGACTGGGGGAGGGGCAGGCTGCTAGCTTTCACCCCCAGCTGGGAGGGCCAAAGGTTGGGGCTCTGGAATGCGGCTGAAAGTGAAAGCAGGCCGGGGTCCGGGGGGCGGGGCGGGGCGGGCCTGGCCTGGCGCGGCTGGGACGTCCCAGCTGTTCCTCGCTGGCTGGAGCTGCTCTGAGGGCCCAGCCTGGGCCGGACGCTGCGGGAGGCCGTCTCCAGGGTCCCTTCTGCCTGGGCCCAGCATCTGCCCACTCCGCAGGTATGTCCTGGGCAGGGTGCAGGGAGCCTGGGGGGCTCTAGGCAGTGGGTGCTGAGCCTGTTCAAGCTCCGCTCCTGCCTGGCCTTCCTCGCCGAAGGGCTTCATCCACTTACCCAGACACACGGCAGCCGCGCACACACGCAGACAGCACAGACACACATGCATGAGACATACACATGCGTGTCCGGGCACAGACTCAACAAGAGGACCACTCACTGACACACTCCACAACAGCCACACACGGGAGAAGCCGGAGCAGGCAGATGTGTAAAGCTAATACAACCAGTGGGCAAAGCAGACGCGCTCTCTCTCTCACAGTCACACACACACACAGGACAGAGCCACAGAGCTATTTTGGAAAACAGATGTACAGGTCCTGTCTGAGAGCTGGGTGGGGCCCATTTACTGCTGGGGGGGGGGGCAGAAGCACTTGGTGGAGGGACGGAGACACCCTAGAGCAATAGAGAAGGTGCATCCCTGGGGCTGAGGCTCTGTCCTGGGGCTTGTCAGAGCGGAGGAGCCACTTCTGAGCCCTGAAGGCACCGGCAGGTGGAGGAGGCGGGGCTGGGAGAAGAGCCTGGGAGGTGCGGGAGAGTTGGGGGAGTGGAGTGTGGTGGAGAGGTGAGTGTTCCTGGGGGACAGAGGGTGCGGATGTGGAGGACGAGCTGAAGAGGAGGCTGTATTTCCAGGGGTAAGGAGAGTGTGCTTTGTGGCTGCTGAGAAGGAATTTTGAAAGTGTTTTTCCGACGGGTTTTGCGGGCGTAGAGCAGAGCTGCTGCTGGTCACATTTGTACATCAGTACAGGAAACTGGAGATGCTCCTGAGCACTCCGGAATCTTCCATCTCAGGGTTTGAGCAGATAGACCACCAATGAGTTACAATACAGCAGATCTCTGTTTTGCCCAATGTTTCCTTAACTGGCTTCTCCAGACACAGGTGAGAACACCCCCCCTTGTTCCTGTCCCTGTTTTCGTTTTCAGAAGATTCCTAGCTTACAAGGAAGACTTTGAAGACAAGTCTGAGTCGGAGGAGGGTGGGGGCTGAGATTGGGGGCTGAAGAGAAGCCTGGGGTGTGCAGGGCAGAGCCAGCGGACAGGTGTTACTCACCTGTGGTGGCTACTTCTGGGCTGGGCCCAGGAGGATGCTGGGCACCGGAGGGAAGCTCTAGGAATGAGCCGTGATGCCAGGCTGCAGACACAGGGCTCCACAGTTCAGATCCGACTTCTCAGTCACAGATGGGGTGCCAGGGGGTTCCCAACAATCATGTTCTCCAAGTGACTTTCCTGCCTCTGCTGCTGGCCCTGCCGGGGGTGTTGTGGCTAGACTCGGTGCTCAGCTCCCACTAGGCCTGAGGGAGGGAGCTACGTGCCAGGACGTGGGGCTCCCTGGGCAGGGAGACAGGGAGACCGGGCCTGGGAGAGGCCAGGTGGGGGAGCCTGAGGCTCAGGCACGAGTACCAGCACTGCGCGGGTGCACGAGGCCAGGCCGGTCTGCTGATGCTGCTGTCCTTATCTCAGGCTGGGAGATGGACGGAGGTCTGGGCTGGGAAGGGGAGTGGCTGGTGCCATCAGGACTTCTGGGAGTGGGGGTACCCTTGGGTCCTGAAGGCCAGGTCGGGTGGGCAGCAGGGAGGGGCGGTCTGAGGCAGAGCCGGGGCTGCACTGGGGGAGAACAGAAGTAGCCCCGCGGGCTCCACACCCCCCGGGGCTGGAAGGGGAGGCTTCGAATGCCGAGGCTGGCCTGGGGAGTGGGCCCAGCAGGAACAGTGGGAGCTGCGGGGACCGCGGTGGTGCCCGCTCAAGGCCCGGCGAGGGTGTTTGGAATGAGGGCAGCCACCGGGTCGCCCTTCTCCAAGCCCAGGTTTCTCTGCTGACCCAGGCGGGGTTAGCCAGGTCTCCCCCCCACACCCCTGCACCCAGGGGTCCCCCCACACCAGCAAGGGCGCCTCAGGCAGCCCCATACTCATGGGGGCTCAGGGACAACAGCCTCCAGGCACCATGGCTGTCAGGGGCTCAACACAGGCCGCTGCGCGCCCCTGGGCTGGGGCAGAGCTCCGGGCTTCGCGACCACAAGATCCAATTTGTGTCAGCACGGGAATGCACACGAGTAGGTGTTTACTGTGTGTGAGTTCATGCTCACATGGCAGGGCTCGCCTGGGCCTTTCCTCATTCCCCCGGTGCCAGGGGTCCTGGAGCCCTGGGCAGGGGCAGGGCAGGGGCGGCCTGGGCAGGAACCGTCTCTTCCTCACCCAGGAGAAGGAGAGAGGCCGGTCCGCCCTCTGGCAGGGGTGGGGCTAGTCCCACGGGCAGTATCCCCGAGTCTGGGCCAGTATGGATGGTGACCTGTGTCCAGGGCGGGGAAGATAAGATTTCCATCCACCTCCCAGGCCTGCCTCCCCATCCAGCCTTCTCGCCGCGGCCAGTGGCCTGAGGCTCAGGAAGGCTCAGCGGGCCTGGGTGAGAGGGTCTGAGGCTTGCCCAGTGTGCAGGGTAGCCCACCGGTGAGGTGGGGCTGGCCCTTGTTCCAGCCTGAGCCCTGTCCCGGATCCTGGGTGGAGGAGGGCTGGAGTCTCTCCATTGTTCTAAGGCCTGCAGGTCCAGCTCTTCTTTTGGTCTCTCCAAGACGAGAGTAAAGCCTGGCCAGCCCAACACCCACCCCATTCAGGGTCTCCCAGGTTACACAGTGGGTGGGTGGACAGGAGGGGCGGGCAGGGGGGAAGCTCCCTCCTCCCTCCCACCCCAACCCTGCTCAGGCTTAGAAGGAAGTGGGCCTGTGCCTGATGGGGCTGGGCAGTGCGGTCTGTGCCCTTGGACCCAGCACCCGTGGGGGAAGGGAGAGTTGTAATGGAGGGTAAACAACACCGAGAACCCAGCACCCAGTTAAATATAGACTGAGGCCTACCACTGCCTTCTCTCCAGGCTGTGCAGCCATGATAAGCAACAGGGAGCCTCCCACTGCTCCTCACCACAGCGCCTGCCCCCACCCAGCCGCCCCAGGGAAGGCAGGGACTCCCATGGGGGGGTCCCCGAACCCCTCTTTGAGCAGAAGTGGCCAGGTCTTCTGTGGTTCTTCAGTGGATGGGCTAAAGGCACTGAAGGGCAAAAGGGCCGCTGCAGAGAAGTGTGTGTGTGTGTGGGATTCTTAGAACCTGAGGTCTGAGGAGCCCGGATGTGGTTTCCAGCCCCCCCCCCCCCCCCCGCTGTGGGGCTGTGGGTTGGGCCAGGTCCCAGAATCTCCATGTTGGGCTCCCTCTTCAGTTCCAGCGGTCTGGCCTTGGAGAGACCCTCCTGGGCAGCGATGCCAGGCAAGCCTTTCCCATGGTTGTGGCTGGTCCCACCTCGGCTCTGGCTGCCACCTGGCACACAGAACGCTCTGGCTACCGTGTTTGCCGACAGAGCCCCCTTTCTGCTGCTCCAGGAAGGCTTCCTGGGCTAAGTCCGTGGGCTGGCTGGGGCTGTGTCTGCTCCCTGGACGCCCTCTGGCTCTTGAGCATCCTTCTCACCTTTAGCTCTCCTGCAACCATGATGCCATCGCCGCGGCCAGTGAGTCCTGGGCCGGAGCCCCAGAGCCCCGGGGAGCCCCAGACCACCGTTCAGGACGGCCAGCGGACAAGCAGCGTGGATGCACCTGACACCCTCCGGGAGGGCGCCCGGAAGCTGGGCCTGGGCACGTGGAAACGCGCCTTCTCCTGGGCCAGCCAGCACTCCCGAGCTGCCAGCGGGGACCCGGGGCCGCGCAGGCACAGCTCCCTGTTCCGGTCCTTCCGGCGGTCCCTGGAGGAAGGCCCTGCTGCCGGCCAGTCCCAGGGCGCCGCTGTGCCAGAGGAGCCCTTGGGAGCTGTGGATGGTGCTGGCCGACAGCCCTCCACTGGTCCCAGGCCGGAGGTGCTGGAGTCCCAGACAGGTGAGACCTTGCACACAGCATGAAACTTGGAGGGAAACTGAGATCAAGGGGCAGCAGTTCAGCCTAGTCTTCCTGGCAGGTTTTTCTGGAAGCTCAGCTCATTGCGTTTCACATTCTCCTTAGCAAGGGACCGGCCCTCCGCATTGGGCGAAAAGTGAGGCTCAGAGCGGTGATGTGACTTGCTTCCTTCCAGTCCTTCAGCTGGGAAGCAGGGAATTGGAATTTGAGTACACACACGCACGCACACACGCATACATGCATGCCAGTACTGGGCTTGAACTCACACCCTGATGCTCTCCCTCAGATTTTTTGCTCAAGGCTAGCACTTGACTCATAGCTTTACTTCTGGTTTCTGGTAGTTAATTGAAGATAGGAGTTTCACAGGCTTTACTGCCCAGGCTGGCTTTTTTTTTGGGGGGGGGCAGTTCTGGGGCTTGAACTCAGGGCCTGGGCACTATCCCTGAGCTGCTTTTGCTCAGGGCTGTGCTCTACCATTTGAACTACAGGACCACTATCAGCTTTTTCTGTGTATGTGGTATTGAGAAATTGAACCTGGGGCTTCAAGCATCTAGGCAAGCACTCTACCACTGAGCCACCTTCCCAGGCTGGCTTTGAACTGCAGTCCTCAGCTCTCAGACTCCTGAGTGTGAACTACTGGCACCTGGCTTGAATACAGATCTTTATGATTGGAAAAACCCTGGCTTCTGCAGAGCCTTTCACAACCTGACTTCTAGCCAAAGAAGGGCCGGGCTGAGGTGCTGTCCTCCACGATCAGGGCCGGCCTGCAGGGTGCGTGGGGCCGTCTCTGTCTGGAGGGAGGCGAGGCCGCCCAGGACAGACTGAAGTGGTACCTGAAGGGGGGCTGGCATGGATGGGGAGAGCTCCCCTGGGCTGGGGGCTGGCAGAACGTGCGGGCGAGCACCAAAGTTACCTCTGGATGCTGGGGCACCAGGGGCCACGCCCAGCCTGAGCTCTGACCCTGCTCGGCCTGCAATCAGGGCTGCTCGCAGGTCCACTGAGACCAGCTCAGCCAAGCCGGTGGTGGGTGGGAGCAAGGTGGAGGGCAGAGGTGGCTGGTGGGGCCAGCAGAGGTGGACCCCGACAGCGCCTTTCAGCCAGGGGCCCCAGCTCTGCCTCTTCACGTGTGATTGGGGGGGGGGGCGGTGAGGGAGGAGGCAGCCATCACCATCTGTGCTCAGGGCATCTGAGTCCCTTCCTGGTATGGCCTCCCCACCGCCTCTCTCCTCCCTGGTCCATGCAGAAGGCAAATCCGTGGCTGACCTCATCACAGAGCGGCAGCTGCTGGCGGCCTTCGAACAGCTGCAGCAGCTGGAGGCGCAGCTGGTGGCCGAGAAGGACTCGCACACCTATGAGCAGGACCCCACGGCCTTTGCGCGCCGCGCCATGGATGTGTGCCTGCACTACGACGCGCTGGCAGCCGAGATCCGCGCCATCGTGCGCGAGACGCTGGGCCCCGAGGGGGTGGACGCAGACGCTCTGGCCCAGGCGGCCAGGGTGGTGCAGGCTGAGGCCGAGGCCCACCCGGCACCCCCCGCCGACGGCGACTTCCTGCGCACGCCCCGCCACTGGTGCCAGCTCTGGGAGGATGCGGTGAGGCAGAGCGCACAGGAGCGCGTGCAGGGCGCCGGCCTGGAGGGCACCGGGGACGCCGTGGGCCCCGAGGGCGTGCAGGGCCTGGCCCAGCTCCTGGCCCAGCTGGGCAGCTCGGTCCGCGGAGACCTGCAAAAGGTGCGGCGGGAGGTGCAGCCCGCGTACCCGGCCGGCCTACCCGTGTGGGAGGCCTACCTGCGTGCCTTCCACGGCGCCGTGGCGCAGCGCCTGCAGGGCCTGGCCCGCCGCGCACGCGGCTGCGAGCAGCTCTACCTGCTGCTGGACTGGGCGGCCAACGTGTACGGCAGGTGAGGCCGGAGCCCGGGACACCCTGTCGGGGGCCTCTCCCTGCCGGAGGCCTGCTGAGGGGCCGACACCCCGGGGTTTCCTGTGCTGGGGGCGGTGTGTATGCATGATCCCTACCTCAGTTTCCAGCTCTTCCCAGGGAGGTTCCCCCCAGAGTCAGGAGCCTATTAGAGGGCCACTCAAGTCCACAGGGTGTCACTGTAGACCCCTGGCCCGGGCCGGCGGGGCACTGGCTGGCACTCGCCTCTCTGGATGGGAGTCTGCGCCTGGCGCCCCGCCTGCCCTCCCCCCACCTCTGCCTCTGTGCTTTATGCTGGGGCTGGCCTCCGTGTAGGGCTCCCTGGTGAGGTCTGGGGGGGGGCTGGCCTCCGTGTAGGACTCCCTGGTGAGATCTGGGGCTCCCTGGTGAGGTCTGGGGGGGGTCTCCGTGTAGGGCTCCCTGGTGAGGTCTGGGGGGGGTCTCCGTGTTGGGCTCCCTGGTGAGGTCTGGGGGGGTCTCCGTGTTGGGCTCCCTGGTGAAGTCTGGGCGCTGGCCTCCGTGTAGGACTCCCTGGTGAGGTCTGGGGCTCCCTGGGTGAGGTCTGGGCGCTGGCCTGCGCGGCACAGGAGGAGTCCTTAGAATCCAGTCTTGGGGCTGGAGGGGCTGTGCCCCCCTCCTGGAGGGCAGGAGGTGCAGTGTGCCCACGGAAACCCGGATTGAGGGACCCCAGCCCCGTGGGGGGCCGGCCCTTAGCACCCCACCCCCTGCTTTGCAGCCCCGACTTCCTGGGCACCCCGGACTTGGCGCTGCCCGCGGAGCCGCTGCCCCCGCTCCTAGCGCCGGAGGTGTGGGCGCGGCTGGAGAGCGACTACACCAGCTTCCTGGAGGTGCGGCCCGGCAGGGCGAGAGGCCGGCAGGATGAAGGACCGGCGGGAAGAGGGGCGAGGGGCCGGCGGGGTGCGGGGCCAGGGGCCGGCGGGGCGAGGGGCCGGCGGGGTGCGGGGCCAGGGGCCGGCGGGGCCAGGGGCCGGCGGGGTGCGGGGCCAGGGGCCGGCGGGGCCAGGGGCCGGCGGGCCGAGGCTGTGCGGGCCAGGCCCGGCCTCCGTGTGACGGGGCCCCGAACCCCACAGACCAAGATCGCCAGCTGCTTCGACCACATCTTGCAGCTGGAGCGGAGCCGCTGGGCGGCCGCGGAGGCCCCCGAGGTGCTGCAGGGCCGCTACCGCTCGCCCCTGTCCACCGACGTGCACATGGTGCGCGGGGCGCGGGGCGCGGCCCGGGCGCGGGGCGCGGGGCGCGGGCTCACCGGGGTCTCGGGCTCACCGGGGTCTCGCTGCAGCTGGTGGCGGAGCACGTGAAGGCGGCGGGCGCCATCTCCGCGGGGCTGGAGGCCACCACGCTGCGGATCTGCGCGCGGGCGCTCGGCCTCTTCGTGCCTAGGTGGGGCGCGGGCCGGGGTGTCGGGGAGGGCGCGGGCCGGGCCGGGGTGTCGGGGAGGGCGCGGGCCGGGCCGGGGTGTCGGGGAGCGCGCGGGCCGGGGTGTCGGGGAGGGCGCGGGTCGGGGTGTCGGGGAGGGCGCGGGCCGGGGTGTCGGGGAGGGCGCGGGCCGGGGTGTCGGGGAGGGCGCGGGCCGGGCCGGCGGGGAGGGCGCGGGCCGGGCCGGGGTGTCGGGGAGGGCGCGGGCCGGGCCGGGGTGTCGGGGAGGGCGCGGGCTGGGGTGTCGGGGAGGGCGCGGGCCGGGCCGGCGGGGAGGGCGCGGGCCGGGCCGGCGGGGAGGGCGCGGGCCGGGCCGGGGTGTCGGGGAGGGCGCGGGCCGGGCCGGGGTGTCGGGGAGGGCGCGGGCCGGGGTGTCGGGGAGGTCGCGGGCTGGGCTGGCGGGGAGCGCGCGGGCCGGGGTGTCGGGGAGCGCGCGGGCCGGGGTGTCGGGGAGGGCGCGGGCCGGGGTGTCGGGGAGCGCGCGGGCCGGGCCGGCGGGGAGCGCGCGGGCCGGGCCGGCGGGGAGCGCGCGGGCCGGGGTGTCGGGGAGCGCGCGGGCTGGGGTGTCGGGGAGGGCGCGGGCCGGGCCGGCGGGGAGGGCGCGGGCCGGGGTGTCGGGGAGGGCGCGGGCTGGGGTGTCGGGGAGGGCGCGGGCCGGGCCGGCGGGGAGCGCGCGGGCCGGGGTGTCGGGGAGCGCGCGGGCCGCGGGGGGAGGGCGGCGTCTCGGCGTCGGAGCCGCGGGGACCGGTCCCAGCCTCCGCTGCCGCCCAGGTTGGAAAGGGCGTTCCTGGAGTCGGAGGCGGTAAGCGAGCCGCAGCTGGGCGCCTACATCAACACCTGCGAGGAGCTGAGGTAGGGCGCGGCCGGCAGGGGGCGCGCGAGCTCCGGAAAACGGGCCCACGGCGGGGGGTGGGGGAGGGGGCGGGGAGGGAGGGGAGAGGGGGGAGAGGGGGCGGGCCCCGGCGTGGGGGGCGGGGAGAGGGGAGGGGCGGGAGATGGGCGGGGAGGGGAGAGGGGAGGGGCGGGGAGAGGGGAGGGAGGGGAGAGGGGAGGGGAGGGGCGGGGAGGGGCGGGCCCCCGGCGTGGGGAGCGGGGAGGGAGGGGAGAGGGGGCGGGCCCCGGCGTGGGGGGCGGGGAGGGAGGGGAGAGGGGGCGGGCCCCGGCGTGGGGGCGCAGGAGATCCCCCGCCCTGGTTCCTGGGTCCGGCCCCCCTGCCTCCCGGCCAAGCTCTCTGAGCAGCCCTTCCAGCGCGGAGCCCAGCGCCCAGGTTCATTAGACAAGGGAAAGGCAGAGGGAACCGCTGGACCGTAGGTTCGCAGACAGCAGGTGGCAGAGGGGGTCCGCATCCTCAGAGCAGGCCAGGAGCGCGCCCTGGGTTGGAGGCCTGTGGGGGAGCATGGGGACCGCCCTGCCTTGGGGGGCACAGACCCAGGCCCCGCCCACACAGCCCAGGGCTTCTTGGAGAAGCCTGGAAGGCTCCGCACCTGCTGCTCCTGAGGCCGGCTGGCGCGCTTGGGTAGCTCGTGGAGGCTCGTGAAGCTAGACTTGAGCCGGGCCTGCCAGACTCGCAGCCCACTCGTGGCAAGGCCCTGCTTCCCCAGGGCCATCTTGCCTGACTGGGCCAGGCGGGACTCAGCTCTGGAGCCTGGGGGTCAGCTCTGTGGAGCAGCCCTGCGTTCTCCGTTCGTGGGCAGCAGTGGCTGCCCCTGCGGTCCTGTCTTGTCCAGTTTCCTCAGCGGTAACAGGAGCAGCTTCCTTCCCCGAGCTCCGTGCTACCTTTCACACCGAAGGCTCGAAGAATGGAGCGGGTGCGGCGCCCAGCCCTGATCTCACCCACCTCCTCCGTCCACACCCCTCCCAGGACCAGTCTCCTGGCCCGGTTCCCGGGCGCCCTGGGGGAGCTGGAGCCCACCCTGCAAGCCACCACCCGCACCTTCCAGAAGCACCTGCTCCGGAGTGTGCAGCGGAAGATGCAGGTGACTGGGACCTGCCTTCCACCCCCCACTTTCTTTGCCCAGAAAGTGCCACCTTCTTCTGGAGCCTGGTGCCCTGTCCCTGGCCATTGGCAGCACCTTCCAGGGCTGGGGGCTGCCTGCCTTCTCACCAGGTCTCTGTCTCTTAGCAACCAACGCCCATCACCTGCGGGGCACGGAACTGGCAGCCCCTTAGGTTATCCCCAGGGCACCCCAAAGCAGGGCCTGGCAGACAGCCACACTCAGACTGCTCCCTGGAGGAGACATTCGAGGGGTCAAAAAACGGGGGCTTGTGCCCCAGGAGCCCAAGGTCACCCTGTGGCCCTCTGTCCCCAGCCACTCTTCAGGGTCCTGTGCACCAAGAGCTGGCTGACCCACGACGCTCTGTGCCCGCTCATGGACCAGGCGGTGGCCTTCGCCCACCACCTCAAGCACGTGGCCCCTCCGCTGGCACAGGTCCTGGGCTGGGAGGGTTGGCAGCAGTGCCCAGCTCAGGGGTCCAGGTGGGGGGGGTACCCAGCCCAGGGTGGGGCCTGGCTCTGACCCCACCCCGCCCCACCCTTTAGGAGACCCTCCAGGAAGTGCACCGGTTTGTGGTCCGGGAATACCTAGTCCAGGCCCTGAGACCCCGGGAGAGGTTTCGGGGAGCCGAGCGTGTGAATGGCGCCCAGAAGATGACCCTGGATGCGCAGGCCATTGGCAGCACCTTCCAGGGCTTGGTAGGAGAGCGCCAGGCACCGGGGACCTCCCTGCAGCCCACAGGCCTGCCACCATGCCGTTGGGGGAGGCGGGGGAACGGAGGCGGCCATGGTCTCGAGGAAGGAGGGTGCTGTGCGGTGCGTGCTGGCCCATGGGGGGTCATGTCCTATACACATAATTTGGGGGGTCATGAGGAAGGAGTGGAGGTTGCACCCCCGATGGGCAAAGCCTTCAGCCCTGCAGGCCTGGAGCCCTTTGAACCCCACTGTTCCCCGCGGGGGGAGTGTCTCCATGCAGCACTTCGAGGCTCTGGCCTCGTCTGCACACGCAAGATGACGCCTCGCCTGGATGGAGGGGCGGGAGATGAGTGTCCTGTGTAGATGTTTGTGCAGTCACTCCTGTGGGGAAGCCAGCCACGTCGGGGCTGGGGTGGCTGCAGCAGGCCCAGAAGTGCGCTAGAGATGGAGGTGCTGGCATAGGATGGGGGAGAAGCACAACCTCATTTCCGCAGGGCTCCGAGGCTTCCTGGCTGGACCAGGCCATCCCCTGTGTGGCTGAGATCCTGGGCGAGACTTACAAGGACGACATCTGCCGGCACCTAGAAGCCCTCATCCGAGGCTACCCTGACATCAGGTTCATAGTCCCTATCAGGGCAGCAGCCTGGCAGCCTCGGGGGATGCAAGGGGGCGGGGGGGGGCAGCAGCAGGAGGAGCCAGCTTAGGTTGTGACTCCATGGGGTTTGAACCCTGTGCGGACCTGTGTGCACTGTGTGAAAACAGCAGCCACCCCCTCTCCCCCACTCCCGGGCAGAGTGCTGGCCGCGCTCCCAGCGTCCCCCACTCCCGGGCAGAGTGCTGGCCACGCTCCCAGCATCCTCCACTCCTGGACAGAGTGCCGGCCACGCTCCCAGCATCCTCCACTCCCGGGCAGAGTGCAGGCCGCTTTCCCAGCATCCCCCACTCCCGGACAGAGTGCCGGCCGCTCTCCCAGCATCCTCCACTCCCGGGCAGAGTGCAGGCCGCGCTCCCAGCATCCTCCACTCCCAGGCAGAGTGCAGGCCGCTCTCCCAGCGTCCTCCACAGTCTTCACTTAACCTGGGGGCTGGCAGGCGCGGGGCCATCTTGGAGCCACAGAGGTTGGAGGGAGGAGGCAGGAGGGAGGAGGCTGCTCCCAGTGCATGCTCCCCCCTTCTGGAAATTCCATCCGCTCTCCCAGCCCTGAGGATTTCAGGAAGTGAGGCCACAGAAAGCCCCAGTGCAAGTGCCCCGGCTCCCCTGCCCTCCCCGGGAAAGGTTTCCCAGGCTCTGATCCTGAGGCTGCCTTTAGGCTCTTCTGGGGCTCCCCTCCAGCTAGGGGATCCCCCATCCCACTCCACCTCTAACCCCCGTGGCTCTGAGTCCTGAGACAACCTTACCCTTCCTCCCTCCCCACCACCCTGACCTGTCCAGCAACTCCCCTCTCGGGTGATCTCCCCAGCTCGCTGCCCTGTCAGGGGCAGACACCCGGCATCCCAAGGTCACTCCCCCTCCTCACAGAGCGGCCCCCCTCAGCCAGTGCTCGCCCAGCCTCTGCGGGACTCCCAGAGTGTTGGTGGCTCATACTTCCTTGAGCGTGGGCTGCCGTGCGGGCTGGGGCTCTGCTCTGTGCTCAGGCCCCGCATGTCCCTGTGTGTGACCCCGCAGGCGCGAACACATCCTGGCCATCCTGGCCCTGCGCAGACTGGGCCGCAGTCGGAACCAGAGTCTCCTGCAGCACGCGCAGAACCTGCTGCGGACCGCGGGGTCCACGCGGGGTCACGTGCTCTTTGAGGAGATCGAGGTGTCCACCTCCATGGATGTGCTGGTCACCTGCATCTAGCGCTGCTCTGACCGCCCCGCGTTGGCGCCCCCTCACTGGTGGGGGGCAGTGGACTGAGCCCCGGCCCCGCCCCCGAGATGCCGGCACGCATGGAGCCCCGCCCTGCGTCATGCTCAGCTGCCCAGCCAGGAGGAGGCAGGGATGAAAGCATGTGAGGCATTTGTGGGGGTGTAGTTTGGGGGGGCAGCACTGCCCAGCACCACCCCCTAGGTGGGAAAACCAAGAACAGGGTATTTACTCTAAAAATAAAGGTGGATTGAGACGGTGCCTCCCTGAGGAAGAGGTGGGGGGGTGGGGGGGGGTGCGCTGGGCCCACACCGGGCTGTTCCGGAAGGGAGGCTGCATGGCCCAAGGCCACCCACCATGGGACCCGAGGCCCTGGCCGAGGCTGGAGAGCACAGGTGCGGGGCCTTGGCGCCCAGTGGTCCCTGCCCTGGGGCGGTGGGTGGCAGTGGGCATGGCGCTGCGTGCCAGCAGGCAGGGCCCTCAGAGGCGGTGCAGCCGCAGAGCTTCCGGCTGGAAGTTGTCCGGGTACTGCAGGGGGGCGGGGGGGGATGCACCACCCACCACTGGCTCTGTGGATGCGGTGACTTTGGGAGCACCGGCACCTGTGTGCACCTGCAGCCCCGCCCCCCACTTTTCTCTGCTGCTTAGCTACAGCCCGAGGCTGGGCTGCATTGGCAGCCGGGGCTTCACAGGAGCTGAGAGGAGGAAGGGATTTTCAGGGAACCACTGAGGGAGGCTGGCTAGATGGCAGCTCTCCACTGCCGGGAACTGACCCTGACGGCTGGAGCTGGGAGCAGGCAGTTCATCCGGGCCAGGCAGGGCAGGAGGGGCTGGACGGGGGCCGGGCTGCGTGCTCCAGGCCGTGCTGTCAGCATTCAGATCTGCGACCAGCGGTGGGGGGGGGGGGGGCTGGCAGTGCACCCCTGCAGGAAGGGGTGCACCAGGCTGGGGGCCAGGGGCAGGTGCAGGGAAGACCCAGACCTCCCCCTGGGGTGAGGTGGGGTGAGGCAGGCAGGACAGGAATGAGGAAGTCAGGAAGTTGGGGTTCCCAGGGCTCAGGGTGGAGGCAGGGAATGTGGGCTAATCCTGACATGGAGCCCTTGTGCTGGTGGTGGAGAAACTGAGGCAGACAGCAAGTGGACTTGGGGGGTGAGAGGGACACCTCTGTCCACAGATGGACAAGCAGCTTCTCCTGCGTGCCCCACACAGCCTCCTGGTTGGGTTCGGGGTGGGGGGAGGGAGTACCGTGGGCCGGATTGCACCCAGATTTCCCCCAGAGCCCCAGCCGCCACCACTGGTCCTCACCAATCTCCTTGCCTTCCCCCCCCTCCCCCCCCCCCCCCCCCCCGGCCGAGCATCCCGCCCCACTGGAGCCCTTGGCTGGGTTCTGGGGCTGGGCTTGGGGGGGGGGGGGGCGGGCGCAGAAACAGCTTTTTTTTGTTTTTGCATTTTGTTTTTGTTTTCATGTCAGGCCAGAGCTTGAGCTCAGAACCTGGGTGTGCACCTGACCTTTCTTTTTGCTCAAGGCTTGCTCTCTACTACTTGAGCCACAACTCTACTTCTGGCTTTTGGGTAGTTCACTGGAGATAAGAGTCTCATAGACTTTCCTGCCCGGGCTGACTTTGAACTTCATCCTCAGATCTCAGCCTCCTGAGTGATGACAGGCGTACGGTCCTGGGCTCTGCGTACGGTCCTGGGCTCTGGCTTTGTGGCTTTGTTTTGACTCACACTTCCCAGCTGTGAGTGGGAGAGGCACATGATTAGCATCTCCCAGGCTTGGGGGGGCGGTTAAGGGGGTGGGACCCCTCTCCCTCCCCCACTGCGCACCTCACAAGTCCCAGGAGGTCTTGCAGAAGCTTTGGGTATTTCCTGGGCCATGGTGTCCTCCCAGGAGCCCAGGCCACAGTCTGACAAGGTCCGCAGGGGTGGGGACACTGTGAGTGTCCAGCAATGCACACAGTGGTCTGGGGTCACTGGATAGGAGGTCCCTGAGGGGGGTCTCCAGGGAGTACCCACTGCCCCGGGACCTCTAGAGTGCCAGAAGCACCCTGCGCGCTCGGCTGGCCAGGACACAGCAGGGCTGGGGCGGGACCACGCTGAGCTGGAGACTCGTCCCCCCCACCCCCCCACCCTGCATGTCCAGGAACTGTCCACGTCACACCTGGGGGTGCGAGGGGCTTAAAGAGCAGCTTCTGGAGGTGTGGGCAGTTAGTGTGACTCGTGTGTGTGTGTGTGTGTGTATGTGTGCATGCGCGCGTGCGGGGGTAGGGCAGGCCTGAATGTCATGTTGCACACGTGGTGTGCATGTGGGGGTAGGGCAGGTGTACATGTGTGTGCACACGTGGTGTGCATGTGGGGGTAGGGCAGGTATGTGTGTGTGTAAGGTATGAGTGTGTGTGTAAGGTATGTGGGTGTGTGTGTATACGCTCATTTGTGAGCTTTTCCCAGCTGTTGTCAGCAGGCCCCACCCTTGCCTGAGCCGCTGGTCCCGCCCCCTCCCCAGGCTCACTGGGACACTCCAGGACCCCCGGGGGCCTCGCCCTCTGCCCCTCACCCCTGCGGGCTCTCTCTTTCCCTGGGTAGCACCGCCCCTGCTCTTGGCCCCTGTGTGGAGGGGGGGGCACCCTGGTCCCTGTCCAGCGGGGGTGTGGGGAGGCCCTGCCCTGCTGTTCCCATCCTCTGCCCACCTGAGACGTGTCCGGGCCTGGGGGCGATGGCTGCCGCCACCCCAGGACTCTGTGTGGCCAGTGGGGCCAGCAGCCTCCGTGACCCCCCCTTCCTGCGTGTCCCCCTTCCTCCAGGCTGCTCCCAGCCAGCAGCCTGGGTCACCCCAGTGTCCTTGCCCCGTGTGGTGGCCCGGATCCTGCATGCCATGCCGGTGGCCGCCTGTCACCTCCGCAAGGGAGGGCGGCCTCGGGGCTTCCTTCCTTGCCTGATGACCCCAGCTCCTTCCTTCAGGCCCCAGCACTCAGCAGGCCTGGAGGAATGGGGGACGCCTCTGTGCGGGGGGACACCTCAGTGCTGGACTGTGGCTCCTGGTACACCTGCACAGATGGTGGCAGGAGGCTGGCGGGGGGGTCCCAAGGGTAGCCCCCATCTTCAAGATTCCTTCCTTTGCACACACACACACACATGCACGCACGCACACAGGCACGCATGCACACAGCAGCCCCATGGAAGTGCAGCACACAGTAGGGCTGGCCTGCAGGCCCACCGTCCACCGCCGTCCACTGCCTAGGGGAGGACAGGACGGGTCCCCAGTGCACTGCCCTTCCCCAGCCATGTGTGCGGGGCTGGGCGGGGTTCTGCTGACCACGGACCCCGCGGAGCTCCAGGCCTCACAGATGGGGGCCCCTCCCTTGGAGGGGGAAGTGTGCCAAGGGGGGGGCAGGGGAGAAGGGAGGGCGGTTCTGCCTGCCTCCTGGGTCCCCTGCTGGCTGGAAATTCCAGAATGGGATGAAAAGTTGGACGATGCCCAGCCCTCAATCCGCTGCTCTCCTGGGACCTGCTGCATGTGGTCGCGACACTGCAAAGCCTCCTGCCAGGACGCCCCTTGACTTTTCATTTTGGGTTTTTTTTGTTGTCGTTGTTTATTTTTTGTGTCTTCGTTTTTTGTTTCTGGGCTTGAACTCAAGGCCTGGGCGCTGTCCCTGAGCTGCTTTTGCTCAAGGCTAGCGCTCTGCCACTTGAGCCACAGCGCCACTACCAGCGTTTTGGTGGTTAATGGGAGGGAGTCTCATGAGCTTTCCCACCCGGGGCTGGCTTCAGCTCTCCTAGGATTGTCAGCCTGCAAGCTTACATAGGGGCGGTCACTGGAGAACCTGATTTGTTTGGAGTTGTTTGGGTTGGGGGATGGGACAATTCTCCCTAATCCCAATAAAAACTCAAATGGAGCCTGGCACTGGTGGCTGAATCCTAGCTAGTCGGGAGGCTGAGATCTGAGGATCATGGTTCAAAGCCAGCCCAGGCAGGAAAGTCTGTGAGGCTCTTATCTCTAATAAACCGTTAAGAAACCAGAAGTGGAGCTGTGGCTCAAGTGGTAGAGTGCTAGCCTTGACCTGAAGAGCTGAGGGGCAGCGCCCAGGCCCAGAGTCTGAGCCCCACGACCGACAAAAAAAAACCTCCAATCATGGGACCTTGGGCGGCTCTGACTCCCACTCCCTTGTTGGTCTTGCGCTGGGGATTGGAGCAGCCTGGCTGCCACGGCGGCCCTGTGTTACCTTAGCCAAGTCACCCCACCTCTCTGGGCCACGTTTGTGTGTAAAATTGGGAGCATTATTCTAGAAAATTCAGTGAGCTTCGGGAGGACAGTGGGTCCCAGGAGCACTTTCTGCATGCACTGGTTATTTTCCCGCCGTCTCAGCAGACCTCTCTCCGGGCTCTGGGCAGTGTCATCCCTGCCATCCCTGCCCCAGGAGTGCCCCGGGAGCCCTGCCAGCCACAGACAGGAGTGCCAGGGTTCAGCTGTCCCCACAGCCAAGGCCCTCCCTCGTGTCTTCATGCGGTCTCCTCCCTCCTCCCACGCCAGGAGGAATCCCCCAGAGGTGCAGCCTGGGAGGGACTCTGCTTGGGCAAGTTCTCTGGCTGCTTCCTGGAAGTCCTGCCATTCAGGGAAGTGCCCGGGGAGGCCTGAGCCGATGCTGCCTCCAGGAAGCCCTCCTGGGCTGCACCTCGGGAGCATCAGGCTCACCATGGCCAGCCACAGCCCAGCCTCCTCACATACTCATCTTCATAAAGGGCCGTGGGAGGCTCCCCGCGAGGCCCAGAGGGCCTGCCTCGGGCCTCAGCTTCCACATCTGCCAAACACACAGAGAAAGGGTCTGGGTCTATGGCCAGGGTCCGTCGTGGGAAGGGGTGCTGTCCACCCACCCAGCGTCTCCTCCGGTTCACACACTCCGGTCCCACCTTTGCAGAAGGCCGTGTCCTGAGCACGGCACCTGGCCAGCTGCCCTGGTCATTATCCCATAACCCCAGGAGGTCAGCAGATTCCAGTCAAAGCCTGTCACAGCTGTGCACAGCCCAGAGCTGATCCCTCCCCTCCCCTCCTGTCTCAGACCCTCAGTTTCCATACCTGTCCATAGGGTACCCAATGACTCAGCCCAGGAGTCAGGAGTAGTCAGGAGAGGAGACCGCAAGGGTCCCCTGGGGGGGGGGGGGGGGGGAATGGCCTGGGAATGGAAAGGAAGAGGCGGGGCTCTGGCAGTGAGAAGTGCAAGTCATCGCACAGAGGGAAGTGGGTCTGGTGACAGGAGGGGCGTGGGGAGTCCCAAGCCCTCACCTTCTCCTCCCAGGGGTCCCCCCACAGGCAGCACCCCCAGTGGACAGAGACTGGCAGCCCAGCCTTCTGGCACATCTGCAGCGGCCAGGCCCACCCACTCACCCTGCCTCCAGGACTGTCCATCCAGCTGCCACAGCCGGGCGCTGCCCCTGCCCTGGGCGCTGCTGCAGGAAGCGGCCCGGCTCAGCTGTCTTCTGCGTCGCCCCACAGGGAAGGGCGGGGAACTGGAAAAGACTGGGACTTTTTTTTCAATGGTAGAAAATGAGTGGAGGGCGCCTCCCGGTTCTCTCTGCGCACTCCAGTGTCCTTGTGTCTGACTTGAATACATCAAGCTGCATCTCAAGCATGAGCAACAGTGGAAGAGACACAATATGGCACAGTGCAGGTCCACTTCTGACTAGGACATGCCTGGACCTATCTGGGCCTCAGTTTCCTCTTCTGGGAAAAGGTGGTGACAAAACAGTACCCACTTCATCTGGTGTGTGAGAAAATCACTTCCTGCTGGCCTAGCAAAGCCTGGCCCTTGTGGAGGCCAACAAAAGTCAGGGAAAAGCCCGGTGCTGGTGGCTCACGCCTGTAATCCTAGCTACTCAGGAGGCTGAGATCTGAGCATCACCGTTCAAAGCCAGCCCAGGCAAGGCTTATCCACAATAAACTACTCAGAAAAGGCTGGAAGTGATGCTGTGGCTCAAGTGGTAGAGTGCTAGCCTTCAGCACAAAGAGGCTCAGGGACAGTGTCCAGGCTCTGAGTTCAAGCCCCAGGACTGCCCCCTTCCCTCCCCCCCAAAAAGCCAGGGGAAGCAAAGACATGAGCAGATAGCTGCACGCTGCACTCCCAGAATCCCTGTGCTTGTTTTAGTGGTACTGGAGTTTGAACTTGGGGCCTTTACCTGCTGGGCAGGTGACAGGTGTACCATCAAGTCACACCTCATCCTTTTCCCCTCCTGGTTACTTTGAGGTGGGGTCTTGCTTTTGTCTGGGTTCTACACCCAGACCCAGCCCTCCTATTTTCCAGGTTGTGTGTGTGTGTGGTGTGTTTTGCCGTAGCTGGGTGACAGACGTGCTCCACCATACCCAGCTTCTTCCACTGAGATGAAGTTTGAACTTTCATGCTAGCCTGCCCTAGAACCTCAGTTCTCTAGGTCCCAGTCTCCTGTCTAGTTGTAATGACAAGTTGGAAGGGGTCTTACACACTTTTCTGTGTGGGCTGGCCTTGAGCCACAGTCCTCCTGATCTTGGACTCCTGAGGTACAGTTAACCACTGTAGCTGTCTGTACTATTGCTATTCACAACAGCCCAAAGCAGGAAGCAATACCAGAGCCCACAGAAGAAGAAATAAATAAACAACTTGTCTGTGCATACAGGAGAATATAACTCAGACTTAAGCAGGAATCTCAGACCCATGCTACAAGATGGCTAAACCTTGAAGAGACTGCACTAAAGTAAGCCAGTCACCGTATCACTCTGCCCACAGCTGACTGGGGGTGGCCAGGAACTGGGGGGAAAGGAATGGGGTGTTCCTGAATAATGGGATAGAGTTTCAGTTTTGCAAGGGGCAGAAAGTTTCATGGGTGGCTGGTGGTAATGGTTGGTGGGTGCTGATGAACAATTCAGATATACTTAATGCTTCTGACTAGTGCACTTCAAGTGGGAAATTCCATGTCAAATATGTCTTTACCACAATTAAAACACAGGTGGTACACACCTGTAATTCCAGCACTTGGGCAGTGAAAGGAAGAGGATCTCAAGTTTAAGGCCAGGCTAGACTATAGAGCAATACCCCGTCTCAAACAAACAAAAGCCCCAAACATTAACTTGGTAGTCATCCCATGCCCTTGTGTCCTGGGCCTCTCCCAAGCCCTGGGTTGCGTGCAAGTAGACTGTGGCTGGTGGCCAGCTGCTGGCCTCCAGGACTTCTGGGCTGGGCCGGTGGGCTGTGTCCAGCCCGCTGCCCCCTCAGGCCCTGGAGCCGGGGGAGGGATGCAGCAGCTCCTGTGAGTGGCTCCAGATGTTCGCCTTCTGCGGGGTGGGGGAAGGAGAAGGCAGGGGAGGGGGAGAGGGAGGGGAGGCCTCCCAGGAATGGCTGAGGGGTTCCATGGCTCCAGCCCTGCTGCCTGCACTGATGGCCGCCTCGCCTCCACAGCGCCCCATCTCCCATCTTCAGGTTCCTCTGGGGCTGGAGATTTCACAGGGACCTTTGACCCTGATGCCCGCTCTCAAAGAAGGGAAGTGCAGCAGCTCTGACCCCGTGTCCCCGGGACGGGCTGTGGCCGGCGCCTGCCCAGCCCCCTCATGATGCTGTTCTGCACACAGGTAGGGTCTCAAGGGCCCACGTGCACACACGTGAGCAGAAATACATGTCTGCCTGCACATGTGCACAAACATGAACCTCACACATTTATGTAGACACGTGAGCACACGCACACACAAGCTGCAGAGCTCTTCAGGAATTTCCCAATTTGGCCCTGGGGTGTGTGTGTTTGTGTGTATGTGTGTGTCTGTCTCTCTGTGTGTATCTCTGTGTGTATGTGTGTATCTGTATGTCTGTGTGTCTCTGTGTGTGTCTGTATGTGTATCTGTATGTGTGTCTCTGTGTGTGTGTCTGTATGTGTGTCTGTCTCTATGTGTCTCTGTGTGTCTGTTTGTGTGTCTGTATGTGTATCTGTATGTGTGTCTGTGTCTCTGTGTGTGTCTGTCTCTGTGTGTCTGTGTGTGTGTGTCTGTGTGTGTGTGTCTGTATGTGTATCTGTCTGTCTGTGTGTGTCTATGTGTGTGTGTGTGAAATGGAGGCCGGGCTGGTTGCACAATCGGCCTCAGCCCCAGCGGAGGAGGCTGCGGCCAGGCCTGCCCTCCCCACCCGGCCGCTCCCCGCACCCTGACCAGGGCTGGGCTCGGCATGTCCCTGACCTGGGGGCTTGGGCGGCCGGAGGGGCAGCCGGAAGCGGGGGTCTTCAGGGCCCCAGGGCAGGGGGCCTCGCAGACACGACCCGGACCGAGGAAGAGGAAGCCCCGGCCCCGTCCTGCGGAGCCCAGGCTGGGGGGCGGACAAAGCGTGGGCGGAGCCGAGCTGGGGGGGCGGAAATTCCTGGTGACCGACCCCCCTCCCCCGCGGGTTCCCAGCTGGTAGGGGAGGGGCCGGCACCCCATCCCCGCCTGGACGGAGGGGGGAGGAGGGGCCGGGGGAGAGGTGGGAGAGGGGAGGGGGTCGACGCCCCAGGCCCAGCCCGCAGGCCCTGCGCAGAGGGGGGAGGGTCCCCGGGCTGCGTGCGGCCACCCCACCGCCCCTCGCCCCGAGGGGCCCTGCAGGAGCCCGCCCGCCCCACGGGCCTGTGCGGCCGCCGCTGTGCCCCAGGAGCATCCCGGGCCCTGGGCCGGCGAGGGCGGGGGTCCCCGAGGGCGGGGACGGGCTCCTTGAGGGCAGGGGGTCCCCGAGGGCGGGGGTCCCCGAGGGCAGGGGGTCCCCGAGGGCGGGGGTCCCCGAGGGCGGGGACGGGCTCCTTGAGGGCAGGGGGTCCCCGAGGGCGGGGGTCCCCGAGGGCAGGGGGTCCCCGAGGGCAGGGGGTGCCCGAGGGCGGGGACGGGCTCCTTGAGGGCAGGGGGTCCCCGAGGGCGGGGGGTGCCCGAGGGCGGGGACGGGCGGGCTCCCCGGGTGGAGGCGGGCGGCTCCCCGAGAGCTGGGGTCTCCCCAAGCGGGGATCTCTCCGAGGTCAGAGGGCTCCCCGAGGTCAGGGGGTCCCCGAGGGCGGGGGCGGGCGGCTCCCCGGCCCCGGCTGTGACGCGGCCGTGGCCTTGGCAGCCGGTCGGGCCGGTGTGGACAATGGCCGGCCGGCGGGGGGACGGCGCCCGCCCGGGCCGCCGGGCTCCGCCCGCGGGTTTTCCGCGCTGACCGCGGCGGGCGGGGCGGGCGGGCGGGGGCGGGGCCTGCGGCTATTTCAGGCCGGGCCCAGCGGGGCCGGGGCAGCGGCGTCCGACCGGACACGGTGAGTGACCTGGGGCCGCCGCGCGCCCGCCTGCGTCCGGGCCGCTTCCCGCGGAGCGGCCTGGGGCGCCTGGCGGCCGACGGAGGGACCGACGGGACGGGACGGAGGGACCGACGGGACGGGACGGAGGGACCGACGGGACGGGACGGGACCCTCCGAGCGGCCTGGCCCCCGCGGCCCCGCCAATGCCGGGGCTCCGCGCGCGAAGGGGGGGGGGGCTGCGGCTCGGGCTCCAGCCGGGGAAGGGAGGGGCGGGACCGGGCCGGGGTCGTCGTCTGGGGCCCGGATGTGCCACCCCTGTCACCGGGACCGGGCCGGGGTCGTCGTCTGGGGCCCGGATGTGCGCGGGAGCACGCGTGTGTCCCCAGCAGCGCCACTGGCGGGCCGCGGCCCGGCCGGGAAGGGGCTGGCTTTCCCCGGCCGCCTGGGGGCCGTCCTTGCCGCTGTCCTGAGCAGTCCTGAGAGATGGGGGTCTCCACATTTTACAGAGAGGAAACTGAGGCCCATGAAAGAAGGGGGGCAGTCTAGTCCAGTCCTCACGCTGGCATGAGGGGAGAGGTGCAGAGCGGGACAGGCCCGGGGCCCCCGGAGCTGGCCCGGCCCAGCACGTGTGCACCCCGAAGCCGCGTGAGAGCTGGGGAGGGACGCGGGCAGCGGCGCTGGCCACCCCTCCCAGCCCAGGAGGAGGACCGAGGGACAGGGCACCTGGGATGGAGCAGGCAGCTCCCCTGCCAGACAGCTCCTATCGATGCTTGGCGCGCAGATGGGGTAGGATGGACGGGCCGGGAGGGTGGAATTCGGAGGCCCGGCCTGGTGGGCCTTGGCTCTGCCTTCCTGGTCCGGGGGTGGAATTCTCAGCCTGAATGAGGCTGGGAGGCAGCTGAGATCCGCGAGTGCAGGGCTCGGTGCTGGAAATTGGAGGTTGTTGGGGGAGGAACCCTAGCTTCCCCTGTCCAAACCCCAGGGTGTGGGACACGCTGCTCAGAGGCTGGGCCCAGGCAGCTGCGCCGCCAGAAGCGAAAGGGGCTGTGGGGAGAAGGCCTAAGCCCAGCCCTGTGCAGCCGCGTTCTGTAGACCTCCTTCCCAGCGAGCCCTTGCCTGCCTCGCGGCCGCAAGTCATCTTGATAAGCAGGAGATTCCGCTTGTGTGTTTATTCTCCAGAGAGGTTCGGGCAGGTGGCACCATGGCTACAGGTTATGGCAGTTACCGGCAGGTCAGGCAGGGCCGTGGCGACGGCTCATGCCAGCTTACCGCACCTCTGGTTTGGCTGTGCTCCCCTCCCTCGGCCCTGCCTCTCTGGATGGGGTGACAAGAAAAGCTAGACATAGGAGCCGCATTTCCTGACTTCCAAGAGCCAGCTGCGGAACACAGGGATATTTGAAGTGAAATGACACCCTTTCCGTTTGGGAGGGAAGAGATGGGATGGGCACCCAGGAAGGGTGTAGAAACCCGGAGCGCTTGTGAAGATGACGTCACCGGGTTTGGGAGCAGGGCAGGGTAGGGTGGGAGGCGGGAAGCCTGGGTTCCACAACACTGCCGCTGGGTGACCACACGCAGCACCCAGCCTTGCTGAGCCCTCTGTCACCGTGAGAGGCTCTCTGAGGGGGAGCCCGGAGAGGCTCCCCCTGTCTGCCTCACTGTCTGAGGGGATCCATGCCTTCTTTGGCAGACTGGGGTTTGGTTTTAGGGCCCAGCACTTGAAGCCCTATGTTTTCTGCTAACCTGACCTCTGAGACCAGCATGGGGTCAGGCTCTGCTCTCTCTGTAGCCCCAGTAAGAGCAGCTGTGTTTCTGTTCATGGCAACTTTCATGATCTGAAAGCCAAGTAAGAACTGCAGGGAGGCTCTGTGCCGGGCTGGGCTGAGCTGGGCAGGAGGTGTGGGTGCTGGCTGGAGGTCTGTGGACACATGACCGGGCTCTATCTTTCTGAGCCTCTGTTCTTGCTCCATCCAAAGAGACAGCAGCATGAACTCTGCCTCTTCCCTAGAGCCTGGAGGGATGAGGGAGAAGAACAGAGAAGGCCCCTCCTGTGCAGGGAAGCTTGGGGTTCCCAGCCTCTTCCCTGCTGCATGTGAACTTCTGTGAGGGGCCATGGAACGCGGGAAGAGGAGGTGTTCGTGTGCAGCGTCTGTGGCCAGGGAAGGGGTGCGTGCTGGGTTCTCATCCGGCCACAGAAATGGCCTGGGGCCCTGGTAGTTAGTTGTACGGTGAAATCAGATCAAGCGCTCAGTGCTGCCACCCAGCTATGCCCTGGGGCCGGGAGTCTGTACCGCTGTGACTAGCGCAGATCTCCTTCATTCCACACCCCAAACCTGCAGGTCTGAGCCTGGGTGATGCTGAAGATGATGACCTTCTTCCAGGGCCTTGTGCCAGAGACTCTCGGCACCCCTGGAGACCGCGCCAAACCGCAGTCTTCGTCGGAGTCCGAGGCCTCCATGTCAGAGGCGTCCTCGGAAGATCTGACCCCGGCCCCGGAGGCCGGGGCGGCCCCCGACGGGGAGGCGGAAGGGGCTGCCAAGAAGAAGTCAAAAGGACTGGCCAACATGTTCAGCGTCTTCACCAAGGGGAGGAAGAAGAAGAAGAAGAGGGAGGAGAGTCAGCCTAGCCCCGCAGAGCCGGAGAACGAGCCCAAGCCGGAGCCAGAGCTGGACGGCCCACTGCCCACAGGTAGCCGGGGTCCGCGGGAGGGCGGGGCCGGCGGGGCCCACGGGTGGGCGGGGCCTTCGGGGCGGGGTCCGCGAGAGGGCGGGGCCGGCGGGGCCCACGGGTGGGCGGGGCCTTCGGGGGTCCACGGGTGGGCGGAGCCTTCAGGGCGGGGTCCGTGGGAGGGCGGGGCCTTCGGGGCGGGGTCCGCAGGTGGGCGGGGCCGGCGGGTCGCGGGGTGGGGGCCCCGGGGGCGGCTGCCCGGGCCGCGGTTCTGTCGGGGTAGCTCGCGTCCGTGCCCGGGCGGGGCGGGGAGGGAAAGCGGCCGTTCGCGCAGGACGGTGTGGGCCGAGGGGCCGGTGCTCGTGCCCCGCGGCGGGGCCGGGGCGCGGGTTCCTGACGCGGGTCTCTGGCGCAGTGGAGGAGCTGAAGGAGGCGCTGGAGAGCGGGCGGCTGGAGGCGGCGCGGCCGCTGCTGGCGCTGGAGCGGGAGCTGGAGGCGGCGGCGGCGGCGGGCGCGAGCGAGACGGAGCTGGTGCTGCGGCAGAGCAAGGTGGAGGCGCTGTACGCGCTGCTGCGGCCGCAGGTGCTGGGCGTGCTGCGGCGGCCCCTGGAGGCGGCGCCGGGCCGGCTGCGCCAGGCGCTGGCGGTGCTGCAGGAGCAGGAGCGCGAGGACCGGCGCGCGGCGGCGGCGGGGCCCGGGGCGGCGGCGCTGGCGCCCGCGCGGCCGCGGCGCTGGCTGCAGCTGTGGCGCGGCGCGGTGGCCGAGGCGGCGGCCGAGCGCATGGCGCGGCCGGCCGCGGGCGCCGCGGGCGCCGCGGGCCGCTCGGAGGCCGAGAGCGCCTTCCTGCGCATGGGCCGCACCATGAAGGAGGACCTGGGCGCCGTGGTGGAGCGGCTCAAGCCGCTCTTCCCCGCCGAGTTCGACGTGGTGGCCACCTACGCCCGCAGCTACCACCAGCTCTTCGCGGCGCACGCGGGCGCCCTGGCGCAGTTCGAGCTGTGCGAGCGCGACACCTACCTGCTGCTGCTCTGGGCGCAGAACTTGTACCCCAAGTGAGGGCGGCGCTGGCGGGGTGCTGGGGCGGGGGGGGGGGGCATCGAGCGCACGGCCGAGGGCGCCTTAGGACTGGACTCAAAGGAGCCAGGTCTGGGCAGGAGGACAGAGCCAGACGCTCGGCTAAATGGATGTGGGGTCTCAGGGGATGGGTAGGCAGGGCGCGCTGGGCAGCTTCGGGGCATGGGATGCCACGCGTGGGGCTGCTGTCAGGGCATCCGCCAGTAACAGGACAGGCAGGGGTTACCAGGAGTCAGCCGGGGTTGAGTGGGGTCAGCAGGGGTTGAGAGGGGTCAGCGTCTTCTTGGGACAGGCCTGCTGTGCAGGGTCACCTGTGGTGAGCGCCATGTAGGGCCTGCGTGCCAAGAGCAGGAGCTCCTCCGCTGAGAGCCTCTGTGGCAGGAGAGGCAGCTGGTACCCAGCACTTTAACCCCATCCTCTGATTGGCTCCAATTCCATTCACTCAAGCTTGGGGGAAGGGGCTTGAGTTGCAGGTGGAACTGTCCAGGCCATGCAGGTGCTCAGCCCCTGCTATCTCCCCACCCTGACCTAAGTCTCAAGTGGAAGGAAGGAAGGAAGGCGGAAGTGACAGGGGCAGTGTCTGCGGGTCTTCGGGACCTTCTGGTGGCCATGGGCTCTGCTGGTGGGGAGGGCCAGGTTCTGGTAGAAGAGCCAGGGAAAGAGTGCTGCGGGGTAGGGGTAGGTGAGGGGCCAGCGGGGCCAAGGGAAACAGGCACAGGGCCTGGAGCTGCTAGATCTTTATCTAGATCCTTGTCCAGTTCCTGCCGGCTTCTGACTCACCCGGAAATGCTGGGGCCAGCCTGGTCCTGCCATGTGTGGGCTGGGCCCAGCCCCAGTGACAGAGCCAAGAGGGACACTAAGCCAGCCAGGGCATCGGGTGTAAGGAGACATTATTGGGGTCCATGTGGCCCAAAGTGTGGGCAGTAGAGGGGCCACTTCACAGAGCCTGGGTGAGGGGTACGGAGAGGCCGTTCTGAAACCTCCAGGCAGACAAAGAACCTTTAGGATGCCAGGACTGGGCAGGTCTCCTGGGAGGCCCGGCACCCGGTGGAAGTACAACAGTGCTCCAGAGGGCCAGCCACTCCACGGCAGTCCTTCCTGGGGTCTCCCCCTCAGTGTCCGCTCTGGGGAGCAGTGGGATGGGCTCGGGGGTCAGGAGTTGGGCTTTGTCCTTGTGAGCAGTCTTTGTGGGATCAGTCTGGAAAGGAGACTGTGGGTGATGGGGTACAGTTGGTGGAGGCTGGCAGCAGGGAGGCCAGGGGAGGGGTCCCGCAAAGGGCCGGGGGGGGGGGGGAAGGGCTGGTAGGACACAGGCCAGGGCAGCCTCTAGATGGATGGATTTGGGGGTCTTTCAGAGCAGGCATGGTTTTGGGCCTTAAATCCGCCCGGTAGCTGAGGGCCCATCCTTGGACATGGGAGCGGGGAGGGGAGAGGCTAAGAGTGTGAGGGTCTGCGTCTCCTGCTGAGACACACAGCCCCCCTGTCAGCTCCCCCCTCACCCCCCCCCCGCTTCTTTCCCACAGTGAAATCCTCAACAGCCCCAAGCTGGCGGGGGAGCTGCAAGGCGTGGGTCTGGGGGGCCTCCTAAGCACCCAGCAGATCAGACTGCTGGAGAACACGTTCCTGTCCAATGAGGTGGTGAGTCCCGCGCTGGGGGCAGGGCTGGGGAGGGCGGGGCCCCAGCAGGGAGCACGCCAGGTACTTCCAGGTGAGCAGGGCGGCAGGCCTGTGGCATGATGACTGCCCTTCCCCTCCAGGCCAACATGAGAGAGCTGATGACCCGAGCCTTGAACCTGGAGTCCCAGCGCTGGGCCCAAGATGTGGCCCCCCAGAGGCTGGACGGCCACTGCCACAGCGAGCTGGCCATAGATATCATTCAGGTACTGTGAACTGCCCTCTCAGGCGCAGGGTAAGCAGGGATGGCTGTGCATGCCCAGGTGGAGCCTGTGTCCACTCACACCCCGGGATGTGTCCGTGTCCACTCATGCCCTGGGGAGCGCTCCCTCCTTGCCAGGCCAAAGCCCAGGCCGGCGCCTGCTTGACTCCCCCTCTCCCCCCACAGATCATCTCCCAAGGTCAGACCAAGGCCGGGTCCATCACCCCCGCCCTGGCCACGCAGGTATCCCACATGCTGCTGGTGGAGCTGCTTGGGCTCCTGAGGAGGTGCGTGTGTCCCTGGGGCTCAGGGGGCTCCTGAGGAGGTGCGTGTGTCCCTGGGGCTCAGGGGGCTCCTGAGGAGGTGCGTGTGTCCCTGGGGCTCAGGGGGCTCCTGAGGAGGTGCGCGTGTCCGTGGGGCTCAGGGGGCTCCTGAGGAGGTGCGTGTGTCCCTGGGGCTCAGGGGGCTCCTGAGGAGGTGCGCGTGTCCGTGGGGCTCAGGGGGCTCCTGAGGAGGTGCGTGTGTCCCTGGGGCTCAGGGGGCTCCTGAGGAGGTGCGCGTGTCCGTGGGGCTCAGGGGGCTCCTGAGGAGGTGCGCGTGTCCCTGGGGCACAGGAGGGGCTCTGAAAGGGGCGTCTGCACAGGCTCAGGAGGGCCCTGCGGGACCTCTGTACTCATGGTCCTCCCTGAGTCTTAGGCAGGGTGGGGATTCCAGTAACATCAGCCCTGACCTTCGCTGCCATTCAGAGCCACCAGTCCCCCGCCCCTCCCCGCTGCTCCTGTCACAGGGTGTGGTAGCCTCCCACTATGGGAGTGAGCACGAGGCCTCGGCCTCCACCCCACCCCATCCACAAAGCTCTGCACAGAGGAGCAGTCTGCTTCAGAGAGGATGTGCCCCGGGACTGGAGCCCTGCCACCTCCCTTTCCAACCCGGCATTAACTGATTGTTCCCAGCTCTGAAGCCACCTACAGCACTTCCTGAAGAGACAGGGGGGACCAGGGAAGGGGAGGGGCCTTGCAGGAGGAGTGAGGACCCCAGAGTTGGACAGCACCTTCCTAAGAGGCCTTAGCGTGTGCGGCCAGTGGCACGGTCTCTAGGGGCCTTCCCCGGGCCACGGAGAGACAAGCAGATGGAGCATCCAGAGGCCCTGCGCACGCGCATCCTCAAGTGTCCCTTCTGGTTTTGCCAGCTACCAGTGCGCCTTTGATGAGTTTCTGGAGAGAGGCAGACAGCTGAGACACTACAGGGCCAATGTCATGGCCAACATCAACAACTGCCTGTCTTTCCGGTGAGGGGCTGGGGGGGCTTGCCTGGGGGAGAGACGGGGAGGGAGGGGAGGAAGGGAGGCTTTCGCAAAGACACGAAATTAAAGTGAGCAGGATCTGCCCCAGAGTGATTTGTACCGCTGGAGGAGCCCGCGTGGCCAGCCATCTGCGGGCTACTCACGGTGAGGGGATGTACAAGGCCACCTAGGGGTGGAGCGCCGGCCGTGGGCGCTGCTGCGGGCATGTGCTTGTGTAGGGCGGGTGCTGGAGCACTGGCCTTGATCCCACAGGGAATGGGGGATCCTTGCAGGCAGGAAGGTTACACCGGCTCGCTGACCGAGGTCAGAGGCCGGGCAGGCTGCTCTGACCTTCCTGTCCCCACTGCACAGGACATCCATGGAATCCATGGAGCAGAACCAGCAGATACCACAGAATCTCCTAGGCCACCTGCTGACCCCCCTAACTGAGCTCAAGGCTCGTGGCTTCCACACCCTGCTCCAGAGCCTGTTCACGGACCTGAAGGTAGCAGAGCCTCTCACCCTCAGCTTGGCACAAGAGGGAGGCCCAGGCAGGGGAGGCCCAGGAGCCATGCCCCTAGGTGGCCAGAGCTGCCTGGCCCTGTGGGAGGCACTGGTGGTCAGGCGCGGTGGTGCTGGGGCGCGTGGGCAGCGTGGGTGAGCCGGGGCGCGTGGGCAGTGGTCTCCGGAGGGCTCTTTACCGCACCCTCCACCCACTCTTGTGGCTCGCTTGACCTGGAGAGGTCTCAGTGCCCCGTCCCCAACCACTGCCCTTGGTGCTCAGGGCCTTTGGCTGCTGGCTGTGTGTCCTGGGAGCCAAGAACTCTGCAGAGAGGAGGCCCGGGGTCCACAGAAAGGCAGAGGCAGGGTTTCCTGCCAGTGTCCGAGACAGGAGGCCAGGGCCAGCCGGGGATATTAAAGGCCCAAGCAGTGACCACGGGTGACATTCTCCGGGCTCCATGCCCAGCCAGGCGCAAGGCCTTGTTTATGTAGGAATTTATTTGTTTAAGGGGGAGGCGGTGGGAAAGGCCCGAGGCCTGCAGAGGGGCTGCCACGCCGCCAGGCCCCACGGCTCCGTGACCTTGGAGAAGAGTGCACAGACCCTGCTTCCACTTCCTGTCTGTGAGCTGGGACTTGGGCTCCATCCGGTTTCTGGGGGAGTCCTAAGCCCGCCAGGCACATGTGTGTGTGTGAGGCGCACGTGAGGCGTCTGCGCCTTCCTGACCCGCCCGTCCTGCCTCAGCCGCTCTTTAAGAGGTTCACGCAGACCCGCTGGGCGGCAGCTGCAGAGACCCTGGATGAGATCCTGGCCCTGGTGTCTCAGAGGCTGCCCGAGTTCTTGGAACTGCACGCCTGTTTCCGGGAGGTGAGAGGATTGGAGGGTGGGCCTGTGGGTGGCAGCGGCTCAGATACTTGTGCTGGCACAGGGCCGCCCCGCCCGTTCCTGTCTCTGCACCTAGCTGCCACTGCCGAGGTGACTCCGGACTCCCGGGCACGGGGCATCGAGAGCGGCCGGCTCACCCCACCCCTGCTCCCCACCCAGGAGCTCATGGAGGCCGTGCACTTAAACCTGGTGAAGGAATACATCATCCGCCTCAGCAAGCGGCGCCTGGTCCTCAAGACCGCAGAGCAGCAGCAGCAGCTGGCCAGGCACATCCTGGCCAACGCCAACGCCATCCAGCATTTCTGCACGCACAATGTGAGCCCACCCAGCTCCCGGGGGCCCTTGGGATGGTTTGCTGCTGCTGCTCGCCAAGCCCCCGGCCCCTCCAGACCTCCCTGAGCCCCCGCTCCACCCCCCCCCCAGCTTCCCTGGGAGCAGAGGCAGCCCTTCTCAACCAGCCCCATGCCTACAGGGGTCCCCCGCAACCTGGCTACACCCCGCCCTCCCCTCTCTCGCTGAGATCATCCGACTGCAGGACCCCAGCGCCATCAAGATCGAGGTGGCCACCTACGCCACCTGCTACCCTGACTTCAGGTGAGGAGGACTTGGCGCGGTCCTTCCCAGCCCCGCCGGAGCTGACATCAGCCCCTCAAGGCCCGACTGGCTCAGCTGCCAGTACCTCCTAGGGCGGCTGACGCGTGCTGGGTGCCGACCACGTGCCAGGCACTGTGCCAAGATCTTAGCCAGGAATCCATGCCCCTGGCCCCCAGTACAGCTCTGCAAGGGTGGCACTGTTCATCCACTCTACAGCGGAAGCCTGAAAGGATGCGTCCCGGGGGATGCAGCTGAGGAGAGCTCAGTGTGCTGTGCGCAGATCAGAGTGCTTGCACAGAGACTACAGAGGCCGTGCCTACCTTTCAGCTTATGGGTTTTTTGAGACTGGACCTGTGTCCTGGGCCCTGGGCCTTCTGTGGAGGCTCTGATGAGCCAGGTCCTCTGAGGTAGGAGGAGAAGTATGAACGGACAGCAACTGGGGTGGACCTCATCCATGCCTGTCCATTCATTCATTCATTCACCCACACAGGCACCCACACTGTCTACTCAACTACCCACCCACCATCCATCATCCATCCACCCATCCATCCATCCACCCATCATCCATCCATCCATCCACCTATCCACCATCATCCATCTACCCATCATTCACCCATCATCCATCCATCCGCCTATCCATCCATCCAGCCATCCATCCATCCACCCCTCATCCACCCATCATCCATCCATCATCCATCCAACTATCCACCCATCATCCATTTACCCATCCTCCACCCATCCTCCACCTATCTATCCACTCATCACCACCCATCATCTGTCTAGCCATCATCCATCCATCCTCCATCTATCCATCTATTCACATACCCATTTATCCTATTCATCCATCATCCATCCATCTATGCATCCATCATCTATCCAGCCATCCACCATCATCCAAAATCTATCCAGCCATCCACCATCATCCATCCATCCTCCATCTGTCAATCTGTCCCCATACCCACTTATCCTATTCATCAATCATCCATCCATCCATCCATCCATCCATCCATCCATCCATCCATCGTATCCATGCTTCTATCTATCCATTTGTCCACTGGTCTACTTTTCCATACATCTACCCACCTACCTACCTGTTCATCCCTCTACTACCTACCTACCTACCTGTTCATCCCATCAACAACTAGTATCTATCCTAGATCCCTGACTCTGTTCTAAGCCCTTGGGTACAGTGAAATACAAGACCAGGCCTCAGTCTTCCCCGGCATAGCCTATAGTCTGTTGAGGACCAGAGGCGAGGAGAAGGAATAAAGACAGTTTCAAGTTGGAGAGTTTAACCCAGATCTTGAATAGCTGGTGGAGTTTTTGACTTGAAAGCTGGAAAAGCCTTTGGGGAGAGGCAAGACCTAAAGGGTAGGAAGTAGCTGATCACCTTGAGGGCATGAGGAGGAAGGTTCTGGAAGAACAGAATGCTGGGCGCAGTGCAGTGGAAGAGGGGCCCCTCGGGCAGGGGTCCTGTGGTGGGTCTGGAGCCTGGAGAGCTGGGGATGCTGTGAGAGAGGGGCGTGGCTGACACTTGGCTGACAGAGCACTCTGCTTGCCAGCAAAGACCACCTGAGCGCCATCCTGGCCATCAAGGGGAACCTGTCCAGCAGCGACGTCAGGAGCATCCGGAACATTCTAGACATCAGCACAGGGGTGCAGGAGCCCTCCAGGTCCCTGTTTTCACTTATAAATGTTGGTTAGCATTTGCTGCGGTCTGACCTGCTTGTGAGGGACAGCGAGCATCGGGCACTGTCCCACCGGCTCCTCCGCTCTGCCCGCTCCTTCTGCCAGCTAGGCACTGGACTAGAACCCCGGCAGCTGGAAGTGGACAGACTCCAGTCCGCTGAGGGAAGCTGCAGATGGTGGCTAATGGTGTGTGCCCAAAAAGAAGGGAGCCGGGCAAGGAGAGCCCGGCTTCTCCAGTCTGTGTCCTAACCATGCGAGCAGCCCCTCCAGCTCTCCGGGGCTGGGGGCCGAGCCTCCTCCCTCCCAGCCACCACGAACTGGGCAGCAAGTCTAGACCTGAAGACTGAACCGGAAGGGAGTGGAAACGGTGGACTCTTCACTGGGATCCTGTGGTGAGCGGGAGCAGAGTCAGCGTCAGAGCCCACTTCTGGATTGTGCTGTGGTCCTGACAGGGCCATCTGTCTGTCTAGGCTCCGGCCTAGACTCTCTGCACTCTTCGAGGACTCTGGAGAGTGGACACAGGAGGCTGAGCGTCTACCGCAGCTTGGCGCAGGCCGCTAGGCGCCTGCGTGACTGAGGACGGGCTGGGCGGGGCGAGCTCTGGGTTCCTTCCCTGCTGCTGCTGTAGCACGTCTCCACGTGCTCGGTCTGGATTCTGACCACAGAAAATCAATTGTGGGAGGAGGCAGGATTTGGGGAGGCGCTTCCGGGCCTCCCACCCGCAGGGCCTGCGGCGCGGCGTGGCATCAGTCCTCTCCCACGCGCTGCCTCCCGCTCCAAAACCAAAGGCCCCCGTCGAGAACCTTCACCCGTCTCCGCTTTAAGGTCAGCTGTAAGCGACCTCCGTTCCCATCTTCTGTGTCACCAACAGTCACGCTGTCTAGAATTGGCACGAGAACACCGTGGGGCAGCCGTTCTGCTCGTCCCCCCCCCCCCCCCCATTCCTTCCACTCCAGCAAAGTCCAGTCTCCTGGTAGGCCTCTACCACCCCACGGGCCGGGCCTGACCCGGTCTCCATGGCCTCTCCAGTGCCCAGCGGTGGGTGAGAGCCGGCTCTCTGCATCTATCCCCCCTTCCCAGGTACTGTTTTAGAACACTGTGGGTGCACAAAGGTGTTTGTAGGAGTTAGCTCGTTTGATGTTAGTATTATTTTTATAGTACTGCTTTTGTACATGTGTACTATGCTCAGCGTCGTACGCTTTGGTATAAACGTGACTTTAAGAGTGGCTTTGAGTGGTCAGTTTTGGGAGCTGCAAGCCTGTGGTGGGATGAGGCATGTCTTTGGGGGCTTTCCCAGTCTGGGGTCTGGGCAAATCGCCGTCTTTCAGTCAGCTCTCTGGCGCCCCCTGCACTCCAGTCAGGAGAATGCCGGCCACTTCCCTGCGAGCTGGGGCCAGCATGGTGGGTGCCGTTGGGACGCTCCGATGAGGGCTGCAGGGGTGGGGAGTGGACTCCACCGTTCTAACTCCGTGCTTGGGCCCGGCGTGGACTCACAGTCGTAGAACTGACCGTGAAAACGGCCGCAGTGAACGGGAGCTCCCAGTGTGGTGGGGGGAGGGGGCAGGGGAGACCTCTGCACGCGAGTTCTGGCCCAGGATTAGGGGACAGAGCAAAGATCCTGGGGAGAGTGTGACAGCCGTTCCACAGAGCCCAGGGAAGGCTCCAAAAGGCAGCTGTCCATCGGGACCCAGGAAGCTGGAGAGGGGAGGAGGGAGGCCCTTTCTGGAGAGTTCCATGCCAGGGCTGATGGCGGCTGGGGGTGCTGGAGGTCTCGAGGCCTGGAGAATGTGGGACAGTGCCCCCACCCCACATGAGATACTTCCCCCCAAGAGCACGTGGAGAGCCGAGCGGCGATCACGCCGGCAGCTCTGCTGTGGCTCTGGGGAATTGGCTGGATCCCATGACTTGAGGGGCTGCCGCCTGGCCAGAGCAGACCTGCAGGAACTAGGAAAGAAGGGGTGGAGGATGCAGGAGGGTGGGGAGGGGAGGGAGGCCTGTCGGAGGGGGCCGGGCGAAGGGCTGAGGTGCAGACGGGCCAGATGCGGGTCAGATGCGGAGGGGACTGTGGCTGAGCCGGTAGCCGTGTCCTCACAGGGACGAATGCATTTGCATTTTACAACTGAACACTTACCAGAGGCCATGAAAGTGGGTGCGGTTAGAGGCTGGGGATACAGAGGAGATGGGACCTGGGCACCGGGGTAGATTACGGTGCCTGCCAGTGATCACCCGGAGGACGGCGGAGCTGAGTGCGCTGGCTTCGCAGGGTGCGGTCTCATGAGCGCCGGGAGCGCATGGGAAGGGCGCGGGGAACCCGAAGGCCCTGGGGGGGGGGGGGGGGAAGGGGCAGGGTTTCCAGTGCGCAGCCCCCAGGGTGGGCATGGGGAGCTGGGGTCACAGGAGACCCCTGCTCAGGGGTCACGGGGAAGCACCCTTGCGGCGGGGGTCATGGCGGAGGTCAGGAGCTTCTCGGGGGACACATGCAGGCGTGGGCCTGGCAGAGTCGGGAGCTGACGGCTCTAGGGCCGGCGGCAGCCATGCTGGGGCAGAGGCAGGGCTGCTGTCCTCCAACAGTTCACGGGGGGCGGGGGGACGTCGGTGGGGGGCGATGACTGCAGAGATGAGGAAGGGGGACGAGGCGCTGGCCTGGGCAAGGCCCTGCTCCGCTGGACCCCTGCCCTTGCCGGGGAGTCCAGTTCTGGATGGGGCTCGGAGCGGAGCTGCGAGGATCCCGGCTGCTGGGTGTTCAGGGCAGGACCCGGTCCTCCTGCCTCCTTCCGGGAGGCTCGGGCCTGAGCCTTCCCGTGGTGGTCCTCCGCTCCCCGTCCCGCATGTGCGGACACCAGGCTCTCCTCAGGACGAGGAGTCATCCAGAGTCAGGACACAGGGGTGCCGTCCGCCAGCCCTTCCTTAGAGACCGGCGCTGTGCGGGTGGAGATGGCTTAGGGGGGGCCCAGGGGCTGGACGCCCCACCCCTCTCCCCCCCCTCGCCAGCTGCCCCCAGGGCTGGTGTCCGCCCTGCACCAGGGTTTGAGGGGGTCTGGGGGGGGAGGGGGAGGGAGGACGAGTTGGCCAGCACAGGCCACGCGGGAAGTTCTCAAGTCCAGGTCCACCGCTCTTCCCGCTCCTGCCAGGTCCCTTGAGCTTGAGCCCCGCGAAGTCGGACACGTGGCCCAGTCGAGGTTCGAGGTGCTCTGGGCAGGGGGGGCGGGGGCGCACTGACTGACGAGTTACCGCAGTCCACCCCCGGACCACAGCTCCTTGCATTCCTCCCATAAAACCCACATCCTCCCACCCACGTCCCCCCGGCTCATCCTGCGTAACTCGGCTGCAGCAGACCATCCTGTGGCTACTTGATGCGGTGGCCTGGCCTGGGGGGGGGGGCAGCAGCTTCTCCCCTCCCCACCCAGTGTGCGGGGACAACACTTGGGGCCTCTCACACACAGGCAAGCACTCTTATCAGTACACTACATCCCCAGTCCCTACTGTGGAGGAATACTGGGGTTTGAATTAGGACACCAGGTTTCCTGGGCAGGAGCTCCACCATTTGAACCATGTCTCTGGCCCTTTTTGCTCAGGATTTTTTTTTGTCAGTTGTGGGGCTTGAACTCTGGGTCTGGGCGCTGTCCCTCAGTTCTTCAGCTCAAGGCGAGCGCTCTACCACTTGAGCCACAGTGACACTTCTGGGTTTCTGGTGGTTTATTGGAGATAAGAGTCTCCCACTTTCCTGCCCAGGCTGACTTTGAACTGTGATCCTCAGATCTCAGCCTCCTGAGTAGCTAGGATGACAGATGTGAGCCACCAGCGCCCGGCCTGCTCAGGTTATTTTTGAGATAGGGTCGTGTGTTTTGCCTGGGCTGGCCTACAACTCACACTCTTCCTGTTTCCACCTCTTGAGTAGCTCGGAAGCCAGGCACGAGCCTTTGGTGATGCTCTGATATGCCCCCATTCTTTATCCAGAGACTTGTGAACCTAGAAAACAAGTTACTGGATGCGTGGATGTGCGTACAGCACCGGGACAGGGCAGGATGTCTGCTGCCAACAGTGCCAGGCACAGGGGGAACAGCGGGGGAGCCCCCCAGCAGCCCCCCCGCCTCCACCCAGCGGGGCCATAGCCAAGCCCTTCCCCAGCCCAGGAGCTGAGGACGCCTCCGAGGGCCTGTCCTGCTCCCTGGGTGCCCCTCCCCGCTCCCACCCATGCCCTCTGCCCGCCCTGGACGCTCCTGTTCCGTAACAAGCGGCAATGTTGGTGGCAGTCTCTGTCTTGGTGTTAGCCAGGGGCCAATCACAAAGGTAGCAGCACCCAGCGAATGGACAGGATGTGAGGTGGGAGCCGTGACCCGGAGCTGGCGCCGCAGCCGGAGGAGGAAGGAGTTCTTCAGAACCAAGGTGGCAGCTATGGGACACGAGACTGAGCTCTAAGGAAGGAGAAAATCCAGAACCAGGACCAGGGCCTCACTGGAAAGGATATTGCTTTGGCAAAGCTCAAGATTCTCTGCCAGTGGAACTTTCTGGAGAGTGGCTGTCTGGAATGCAGCTTGGGTGCCTTGGGCAAAGCTGCCTAAGGGAGTCGGGGAGCAGTGCGGGTAAGCTGACCGTGCGCCAGACCCAGGGAACACGGCGCCTCTGGCGCCCTCTGCTGAAGGAGGTTAGTGCTGCAGCTAGCCCTGAGCAACTTCCACAAGCCCAGGAGGAGGATGAAGGAAGGGCTGGAGCTGGGGGAGCGTGGGCTTCCAGCGCAGCCTTCCACTCGCTGGGCCTTTGAGGAAATTCCCACCACCTTCGATGCAGCATCCATCCTGCCAGCGAGACCGGGCCCCCCCAGGGACCATGTTCATGGATTGCTCCTCAAATTCAGAGGTACACACACCACACTTTGTTGCCTGAAGACTGCAGGGTAGTGGGCTGGCTCAAGAGGCAGAGCAGCTATCTAGCAAGCTCCAGGCCCTGAGTTCAAATCCCAGTACTGACAAAAACAATACTGAAGTGCAATGCTAACCTGTAAGCAAACAATATTGTAAGTATAGAAATACATACTGGGCGCTGGTGGCTCACGCCTGTCATCCTAGCTACTCAGGAGGCTGAGATCTGAGGATTGCAGTTCAAAGCCAGCCTGGGCAGGAAAGTCCATAAGACTCTTACCTCCAACAAACCACCAGAAAACCAGAAGTGGCGCTGTGGCTCAAGTGGTAGAGCGCTAGCCTTGAGCTGAAGAGCTGAGGGACAGCGCCCAGGCCCAGAGTTCAAGCCCCACGACCGACAAAAAAAAAAAAAAAAGTACATTTCTTTTGGAATCATGTCACTCGTGACCTTGCTCTCTCCACACTGGGTGTTTGTTGTAGCTGCAGTGCGGCCGCTGGCCTTCCGTGGGTGCCCGCCGTGCAGGCCCCTCTCCAGGTGGGTCCTGAACTCTCCTCAGGGTGTCTGCGCTGCGCAGGCTCAGCTGTGGACACATCTGTGTGTCCCCGCGACCCCTGCACCCATCGCCTGTCCCTGGGAAGGTGGTGGCTCAGGATGGGCGCCGGCTCCGCGCCCGGACATTCAGCCTTCCACCAAGCGGAAGCGGGTTCTCAGGAGGAAAGCTCCCCGCAGCCTCGCCGCTCGCTCAGGCCGGGTCTGGACACCGCTGGCTCTGGCCGGTCACGTGGCGGCACGGCTGGCGCTGCCAGACCCACCGAGCTTTGCTCTGGGCTTCTCTAGAAACCGGCTGTGCACCCAGGACTCGGGAGGATCCCGCTGCACACCGAACGAACAGCGTCTCTGAAACTCCAAAAGCTGTTCCAGGCATTCGTTTAACAGTAGGTTAAAAAAAAAAAAAAAAGCACGAAAGAAATTCGCCTTTCATCTTGGGGAGGTTCCTGCCAAAGTCCCCAGGCCAAATAATCCTTATGCGGCCCAGGTGGCATCAGGGGTCATGGTGGAGCGCCTGCCCAGCAA